ATGCGGCCGCCCCGCTCCACTCGCTTCCTCTTATCTCTGCATCGTCAATTTATTAGTATTCCTCGACCACTAATGTACTAATGCTTGTACAATTCTTGTTACCTTTTCTTCTGCTTGTTGAATTCTTTTTTCATTTTTTCTCTCAATTTAATGAACATAAGAATGCTAACCTTTTTATTTTTGAATTTAAAGTTTCTCAAAAAATTTTAATTGGAAGAGCTTCACTTGGTTTTCCTTTTATCGCAAAAACCAAGCAATCATTTTTGTACTGATTCAGGTGAAAGTGCAGTCATCTCAAAACTTGAATGTGGCAGATTCTTTGTCCAAGGATTCAGTAGCTACTATTTCAGATGAAGTGAAACAAGTGACTGATGGTAGTGATACCCAAGATGATGAGAACATGAGTAGTCCAGGTGTTGAGTCAAAACATGAAGATGCTGTTGCCAAAAAGCAGTTATTTGTTTCTCAACAATCTAAAGGAACAGCAGAGCAAAAGGTTGCTTCTTTTAGTGAAGATGTAAGAGAGATAAATACAGAAGCAGAAGATGGTTGGCAACCTGTTCAAAGACCAAGGTCCATCGGAGGTTCAAGCCAGCAAATCAAGCATCAACGTACAAGCACCTGGAAAACCTACAACTATCAGATGAATGATGTTCCTAGTGAAACTGTTCAATCCAAGCCACAGTTTTCTTATTTAAATAATGGGTATTATTTGCTTAAGAAAAAGATAGTTATTCCTGGAAGCTTTAATGACAATCTTAACATGCAAGTTCAGTCACCAGACACCAGATCTGGTCAGAAGGCGTATAAGGCTGTAACTTATCGGGTGAAGTCAGTGCCTTCATCCACCAATCCTGAGATCAGTCATAACTCTTGGAGTGCTGTCGAAAGAACGACTTCCCCATTAGATGCTCATGCACCCTATTATCGCCATGATAGCCAGGTATTAGAGAATCAGAAGAACCTAATAGGTGGTGTCTCTGAGCCTCGCAACAATTTGGTTCATAGTTTTAGTAATTCTCCATCATATAAAGATGTAGCACTGGCACCTCCAGGAACAATTGCCAAGATACATAGCCGAAAGTTTCAGGAGAATATGCCATTGGAACAAGAGTTGTCTATTGGTGGCAATGCATCTGAAATAAAGGAATCATTTTTGGCCGAGGAACATACAGAAAATGCTGCAGAGCTATCTGAGATATCTAACATAACCCAAGATAAGGACACTGTCCAGGATGCGTTTTTAGACTCAGATAAAAAAAGTTGAAGTTGATCATGAAGAAGAAAGAAAGGAAGATTGTGAAACAGAACAATTACTAGAACCATCGTCTTCTGATTTGGAAGTGGCATCTTGTAGTAGCATGCTCACCAAGAATATCATTGACAATTGTGTATCTAGCAATGAGGTTCAAGGAGTTGAGCAAAATGAGAATCATGATCAGAATTTGTCAACAAATACATCTGATAGGAAAAAATCTGAGTGTCCCATCACTGCAGAAAGCAAAGAAGATAATCATGACGAAGCCTCATGTACCAATGTTGGTATCAGTTCTTACTCTAGTCTCCATCAATTCAATTTCAAGAAGGTTCTCATCCCTGAGAAAACAGGTGGTGATTATCCCACGATGGAACTACCACCTTCTAATTATGATGGGAGAGAGGTATCTAGCAAGAAGCTGTCTGCATCTGCTGCACCGTTTAGCCCTTTCCCTGCTACAGTACTTGGTCCTGTTCCTGTAACTGTTGGTCTTCCTCCTAATGGTACAATTTCTGCAGTTACACCATGGCCATTGAGTGCCAGTCTGCATGCTTCACCCACGGCTGTAATGCCAATGGTGCCTCCTATTTGTACCTCACCGCATCATCCTAATCCTTCTTCACCTAGGCCTTCGCACATTCTACGTCCCTTGCCATTTATATATCCACCATATACCCAACCTCAAGTCATTCCAAATACCACTTTTGCTATGAACGGTAATGGAAACCATTATCCATGGCAGTGCAACATTGGTGCAAACGTTCCTGACTTTGCGCCAGGATCAGTATGGTCTGGTTCTCATCCTGTGGACTTCTCATCTTTGCCACCCATCATTAGTCCAACTTCTGAATCCGTGTTGGAACCAATTATAACATCTCATTTAAGAACTGATGTGAGTCTAGACCTTCCATCGGATAACAATACTGAAGAAGAGAATAATGAGATATCCCAGATTATAGACATTTGTAAACCGCTGGATGGTAACTGGTTAGAGAAACGGGAATCTGAAGAATCTCACAGAAATAATACAAAAATTACCGACTTGGAATCTGAGACGGTTTTCAGACAAGATGCACAGCATAGTGGTGGAAGGCATGTCTTTAAGAGTAGCAAAAAGTATGAGGGTGAGGGAAGCTTTAGCATATACATCAAGGGTAGAAATCGCCGTAAACAGACACTAAAGCTGGTTATAAGTTTGCTCAATAGGCCATATGGATCACAGTCATTTAAAGTTATATATAGCAGAGTAGTAAGAGGAAGTGATGTTATAAGTGCAACAGATATATCTTCCAGTGAAAATGTTACTTCCGACTAGTCACAAGCAAAGAACACTACAAACTTCAAAATGGGCAGGAAAGAATTTTTTTTATTGTTCAAGCCACATCCAGGAGGACGTGACTGAAAAATTAGCAATGTTGATAATTTAGTTATTGCTATTTTTCAGGCAACTGATATTTTTTATTAAGAAGCCAAGATTGAACGTTCAGGAAGGTAAGCGACAAATCTCCTCATGGTCCAAGCCAGGTATTTCTTTGTTAATTAGCTTGACAATGTTACATAACTTGCAGATTTATTGCTCATCAATGCACCTCCATATACTTTATTGTCAATAACATCTCTTTTGCTTTAATTTTGTGTTGGTTTCTCAAGCATACAATTAATTTATCCTGTTTAACATAAGTTATTAGGAAGAAACTTTGTTTGTGAACTGATCATGATTCACCTTTGAAATCCCCAAATTTTTTAATCTCGAGTATCTTCAGTATTGATATCTCACACCATCAAAAAGCTCATAGTATACCATCATGCATGTAATTTATAAGCCTGACTCGATATTTTAGTTCCGGTCTAGCCATTCCAATTTCCAAGCAACCGGTCAAGAGAGACAGACTGAGCGGATATTTTCAGGCTTCCGAAGATGTTTTGATATGCATGAAACTAGTATCAACATCTTTTTGAGGCGCAGATTTTTGCTTCTATTGTAGCTTTCTCTAATTTGCAATCTTGATAATCAGATTGCTGGAGTTAAGTTGTTTTTTCTAATTACCTCTCATCTGTTGCAAATTCCAGGGTATGGCTTACCATCAAATCCAACCTAATTCCTTTTAGTTAAGTCTTCCACTTGCTATGTTTACTGCTGTTGATCTAATCATCTATCACACGTCTTGAGTCTCTGGGCTCATTGGATTTCCAGTCTACCAGGGATTATCAGTTCATTTGTTGAAGCAGTACAACATTTAATAATGATGTTAAATCCGATTAGAAAGCTGGGTTGTGCATCCTACCTCTTATGATTTTGTTTTTATGACATTATCTACAACCATTTTCTTGCATTCTCAAATTAGAGCAGATTTATCCGAAAATTAGACTTGTAATATAGCTGCCACACTACCTTTTTGGCATTCCAGTACAGACTAGGTAGATTGCTTGAATTGTAATGTATGCCTCTGTTATTCAGTAGTGATGCTCAAGCAAGATTTATGTGTGGTCGAGTTTTCAACTTGCACAACATATATAATTTTTTTTTGTATGTTGTTTGTCATAGCTTTCTAGATGTATGTATATCATTTGCCATCTTTTCAACTCAACATTAAATGCTTTCTGAGTAGAGTGTGGGGTTAATTTGTGGTGTTTGAATGAAATTGGGTGATTGATCATTCACAAAAATATTTTTGCATGATCATTCCTAGTATTTTCATTTCTTCTTCCGTACAGGCTGATGAAGACCATTTCGTCTGCAGGTTCACAACATAGATTGTTGAGAAGGCTATGAAGTTCCAAGTCTAGAGAGGATGGAAATAGCGTAGAACTTTTGACCAAATCATTAGAATTAGGTTGAAACTATTAACCATTTTTTCTTCTCCATTGAAGAGACATGTATGAGCATTTTTCTCCTCTCTTTTTTCCCCTTTTCCTTTTGAGGATTCTGAAATTTATAGCCGACAACATTGTAAGTCATGGGATTTTGTGAACCTCGACTTTCCTACCCATCAAAATAACTTTTGCAATTTCTGCTAATATATTCTTTTCGGGTATGCGTTTCATGCTTGCAAAATTAACGTCATTCAGTCGTTGATAGGGTTGGAAAAATTCTCTTGTTTTTTTATCTGATGTGATGGTCAAAGTGAAAATTTTAAGCTTAATTAGCTGCTTCTAAAACCTGATATTCCTGATCATGGACTTGATTATGAGTTGGAAACGTTGAACATCGGAGATCAGTATATTCTAATTTGTTTAAATCAATGCATTTAGGATGCTGTTATTCTTTTCTTTAATAATCCCTCGATTGAATCTGAAATGATCAAAGAGGTAAATCAATGATTCCATCTCTAAAAGCATTTGTCATGGGCAAACCGATGTATTAATTTCGTTTGACTCAAATTATTGATCAAAATACGCAGATATTTTTATTTTTCATTGCTACTGTCATTTTTGTTCTCATTAGGTTTCTAATTCTTCTTAAGCTTTGTACGGACAAGATTCTATCTATAAAGATTAAGATAACTAATTGGAAAAAATAATAATAATAATAACAACAACAAATAATCAACATGGTAACAATGAATCTGGAAGTTTGACATGTCTTCAAGTTAGTACGTGGGAAGATACTAATGGTTTCAGCACCTCTTCAGTTCTTGTAGAATTCCATCAGCAAAGAGAGATCGCCATCATCGGACGACACAGTCGACGCGAAATTTATAATGTTCATCTCTCGTGGCTCAGATATCCACTCTTTGTATGATCACAACCCATAGCATAAGAAACCCTCGAGGATCAGATCCAACATGAGGTGATCCGATGAACGAGAACTGTTGATATGATGAGATTTCCATGAAGTAAGTGGTGCAGCATTAGGCATACGAGATATCTATCAACCAGTAGTAGTACTTCATGGCTCATCACCGTCATCATCTTCTTCTCGGCCGCATCACCCACTTCTGCCGCCACCCGATACGCGTACAGGTTCGAGGGAAATGGGTAACCTAAAGAAGTGCTCCTCTCCCCTCTCATCGATCTTCCTCACCCATCTGCTTTTGCTGCGCGGCCTCCTCCGCCCTGATCCCTTCGCGCTCTTCCGCCGTTCCACGCCGCCTGCCGTCGTCCCCGTCCTTCCCACCTCCTCAATCTTCCCTATCATCGTCACCTCCATCCCATCTTCGCCTATCGGCCCCTCCTCCCTCCCCGCAGACAGTTAGCGATCGCCACCGAACTCCTCGGATTGAAGCGGAGCAGCTCGAGCAGGCCTGCGTACGGGTCGGACTTGCAGCCCACCAGAGAGCAGCCGATGTGCTCGTGATACGGGTCGCCCACCTTGAACTCCACCGCGTCGTCCACGCCGGACTCCTCGACGACATCCTTCGTGGGAGCGAGCGACACCTCCTCCGGGATGATGCAGACGAGTCTGCCTCCGGTTTGTCGAGCTGCGGCGGCGAGTGCTCCCGTGGATTGGGATGCCTCCGGTGAGACTTGTACTATTAGCTTGGCACCCATGCCGGCCGCCAGGGCCGATACGAACTCGTCGCTCGCAGGTTCCGCTGATGGATGACCATCATTTCTTCTTCTTCTTCTTCTTCTTCTTCCACTGTCCCGGGAAAGCTAGAAAAGGAAGAGAAAACTAGCGCATTTAGCTCGTTCATAGGTTGATTTAAATGCCTTGTATTTCCGACCATATCTAACACCCAAACTTGGAGTATATACTTTACGATCTTAATAATACATCTGATTTCGTGCTCTTACAAAATATATCTTTGTTTAAAGACTGTGAACTATTAAATTACATCAAAACTTGTGAACAATGAAAGATATGTTTATATATATGCTTTGTCCGATGGAAGGTCACATAAACTTACTGTTACAGACAAAAGAGTACTTTTGATTTCCCTACATTCTTGGCGAGTGATCAATGGTTGCAGAAGATGTTTGATCCAAGAAGAAAAAGTTGTATGCAATAAGAAAGATAAAGGTAGATTGGTTTCCAAAGAAACTCACACGGTCGATTTGCTTGAAATTAATGCATAATATTTATATATATTAATCGACAGGAGAAACAGAAGAAAGTGGAAAGATTACCGGTTTGAGAGTGTCTAAGCAACCATCGACAGCGTTTTCTCGAGACCAAACCATTCTTTTCATCTGTTTCTCCTCCACCAATTAATGTGATTCTCCCCAACACCGTTGCGTGTGCGATAGAACCAAAGAGTTAACAGAGCGAGAGAGAGAGAGAGAGAGAGAGGGGGGTTGGGGATCGAAGAAGAAGCAGAGGAATTAAGTAACTGACAGGTTTAGTGCCTTCTCGTCAGTTCACATCTATAATGTTTTTTGAAGCAACTGACAGTGTTATTCTAAGATGTCTATGCACTAAACCATATCACCATCTGCCATGATCACTTTTTATGTTATCTCATTTTATGAAGCTGCAGAAACCAAATGGTTTACCAAATTGTTAATCTCTTTGAATCAGATTTTCCTGGACCCAAAGGAACGCAACAACACAGAGTACAAGTTGGAGACATTCACGGGGGTCTAGAGAAAGCTTTGTGGAAAGGATGTTGTCTTCGAGTACCCTGTGACCGAGAGTGCATGAAATCTTCATGGGTAGATTAGGGGCTTGCAGCCTTTTGAATCAAGTCAGTATCAAAGTTCTCGAATATTTGATTTAATGTTCAGTTAAATTAAAAATGTTTCAGAAGACTGTTGCAGAAATGCATTCTGATCCTCTTGATTGATTTAGCTGTGTGAGCTTTTGAACTCGTTTATCATTATTTCTAAATCATAGAGGTATGGAATCACAAATTGATGATATCTTGGTTAGGTTAAAATGTTTATTCTATTAGTGGGAATTTTAATATGTTAAAGTGATATTATGTTCAAGAAAAAGGCTTTTTGAGAACTTGTTTTTGTTGCATGACATAATGCTATTTGAGATTTGATTCTATAATAAGTTGATTTCTTTTCATTTTCGATATGGACTAAATTAAGATGTCTATCCATGAGAAGTATTTCATTCCAGTATTCTTATGTTCAATATTATATCACCATAATTACTCAAAATTTTAAGAGTTCTTACATAAAAAATATATTAGAGATAATGTTTTTATCATAAAGCCAGCAGATAAGTCCCCTTACAACACTAATTTAGTTAGGATGAATCTTTGCTTGGGGAGATGAGGGTGATGGTTTTATCTTTAAATTTGAGCCATGTAAAGATTGAAATCATTAAAAATATATGTTTTAAAATAGTTAAAAAAAACATTTTGACTTTTGTAATTCATTTTAGAAGTTTTTGAAATTTAAATTATTTTTGAAAAAAGTGAGAGGTGGGTTACAAAATTTTTAAAGGGTTTTTAATAGGACCAAAAAAATAATAATGTAATCGTATTAAACTCCAAAAAGATAATTATCTTTTAAAACTTCAGAAAGTCTTCTTTGATAATATTCAAGTGATTTTTGATCCAAAATGATTGTAAATTCATCTTAAATTGATTAAACTTTAAGAAAAAAATATATAAATTCAACCTTTTAAGGGGTAAAATTAATACAAATACTCATTTAAAAGCTTAAAAATGAAAAAAAAAATCATTTACGTCTTTATAACTCATTTTCAATTTTTTAAAAAATAAATATTTTATAATAATAAAAAATAATTTATGCTATTTTTTTAATATGGTTTAACATTTGTTCTCAGATACTGACACTTAAGTCCATCACGGATGTCGTCGTGGTCTCCTTATTCCACGCGAGAGGCCGAAGCGGGGGGCTCGGCAACTCTCCTCCTCCGGATCCTGTCGGCGGCGAAGCGGGCGACGTCCTCGAAGCTCTTCGGATCTGGGAGCAGCTTGCCCACAAAAGGGAGCGGCAACGCGAAGAGAATGTTCGACGTAATTTTTGATAGATAAGACAGGAGTCTCTTTGCGGCAACGCAAAGAGAGCCATCGTCCTTGTTGCTCGGATGTACCGTAGCGGACGTGGGGTGGCGAAGGAGGAGCCAAAGGTGTACCCTCGATGTTGTTCTCCTGGTATCGGATTGGTGTTATAAAAACCATGAACGAAGGGCACGCACATGAAGCAAGGCCGACCCTCTCCTCAGCCATCTGAGAACCTCGCGGAGAAGATACTACAAGAACAAACGAAAGAGCATCTCAACCCTCAACGTGGTTCGTAAGTCCCTGCAAAGTCTCTCGACCAAAACAAGCCTTATTTAATGCTTCGTAACCACAAGCTTTATATACTCGGAGCCTCATCGCGCGACCTCTGTCTCTTTTCCGGCCTGTATATTTCCTCACGAAGGGCCATGGCTTCAACTTACTTTAGGGTTACAATTCAGGCGCATCACATTACGCTCAAGCTCCAATACATTAGTCGTAGCAAAAGTCTCCCTTGAACTTGGGAGTGAATGGGTCAATCTCATTTCCTCGGTTGAACTTTAGCCGCCCGGTCTCCTCTATCGGCATGTAATGGAGAGCTGATACCTTCTTCACGAAGTGGCTGATACCACCACGAGTCTTGATGGAAACCAATTCTAAGTTTTCACGATGCGCCTGAATTGTAGCCGGAAAGAAAGTTGGAGAGAGAGAGAGAGGTGACGTGATGAGGCTCCGAGTAAATAAAGCTTGTGGTTAAGTAAGCATTAAACAAGGCTTGTTTTGGTTGAGAGAGTTTGCAGGGACTTTAGAACCAACCACATTAAGAGTTTGAGAGACTTTTTCGTCGTCTATTCTTGTAGTCTCTTCTCTGTGAGATCAACCTAAGGAGGAGGGTTAGCCTACGTTCATGCACCTAATGAACCTCCGAGAACAAAATAAGGAATCTAACACACTGGGCCAAACCAACATGATTCATCTGTGATATTTATGGAAACTCTTTTGGGTCGCCGTAGCTTTCGGCCTCCGATGCCATTCCCTCCTATCGGCATCCAACACCAAAGCTTGTCGATGGGAGAATGAACCAAACAACAGGCGATCACTGGTGCAGAAAAGATGACTTTTATTATTATTATTATTATTATTATTATTATTATTATTATTATTATGGATTCTTGATACATGCATCATGATTATAATTATATAGGATAATTTCTTTAGGAAAAGCTCTTGTTTATTTTTTTTGTTGATCTTTTTTCCTCGGATAGGGCTCCTATTTTTTTAGTCCAACAAAAGTGACCTAAATCATCCGATTAGATGTCGTTCTCTTGGTGAGAACCCGGTTCGAGATGACCAGGTAGACAAACTGAGATATTTCTAGTTGCAAGGTTCCTCCCTGGGGGTTGGCTCATCCAGATGCTCAACGTGACCTTTTCGATGCTTAAGTCAACGAAGGGGAGAAGACAACAATGTAAACTATATGATTAAGTCAACGAAAGGGAGAAGACAACAATGTAAGATAGAAAAATTATTCTCAATCATTATGTGGGGCACATTCGAACACACCATGGTACAATTTTGAGGTTGGTGACCTGGAGCCTTACTTAGGTGTCGACCTCGATGGCAAATGAGTTGGCATCGGACACAATCATACATATTAAGTATAAAAAATTTTAAAATTTAAATTATTTATATAAATTAAAACGTAATATAATAATATTTTTAATATATTTTAAATAACTAATAATAAAAAAATCTTAAATTTTAAGAAAAAAATTGGAAAATGACTTATAAATGCATAAATGACTTTTTTAACTATTCTATTTTAAAATAAAATATGTTAATGGATTTTATCATTGATTATATTTATGTTTTATAATTTTTTCCCCTAATTTAAGGTGAATTTACAACCACTTTTGAAGAAAAAAAAACTATGTAAATATTATCAAAGAAGGTTTTTCTAAAGTTTTCAGAAAAATATTTTTTTGAAAACCTTAGTTACGGTAATCTTTTACAATTACCCGATCTAAGGTGAATTTACAATCATTTTGGATCAAAAACCACTTGATAATATTCAAAGAAGGCTTTTTGAAGTTTTATGAAAAGAATTTTCTTGAAGACTCGAGTTATACTATTTTTTAACGAGGTTACACGTTTTAGGTTTTATCCAAAAACAATGCAACTCTATTAAAAAATATTGTAACTCACATTTCACTTATTTCAAAATTTTCTTAATTTTGAGAGAATCTCGAAAATTAATTACAACGGTTTGGTGTCGTGTCGCTCCGATCTCTTAGTGGTGAGTCAATCTAAAGCCTGCCGGGAGCGTCACAGCTGAGATCAACGTAATCGGAGGACGACGAGAATCTCCATTGCTTTCACATCTACAGCGTCCATTCTTTCACTTATTGAAACAAGCAAGAAGCTTAGAACGTGTCGTTTCATTTACGAGCTTATGTTTCTCGATGAAACGATAATAATCATCTTGTTTAGCGTGTGTATTTCCCCATGTATTCGATCCGGAGAATATCCACCTCCATTGTAATTTTTAATGAATGTTATCAATATCCAAACAGAAGTACTTATTATGTTTTACGATTATAAATCAACAAGATCAATTATTGTTTACTAAAATCATTTAATGACCATGTACATTAAAAGCTCATCCAATCTTATTATTCTTGTAGACAGATCTCGAAGCAAGTGCCCGAGTTCCGTCAACTCTCTAGTGAGCATTCGATTCTTTCTTTTAGTCACGTCTGACTTCTTTCTTATTCGTGTTAAGATTTCAATTACTTCTTGCTTGTAATCACTCTTCCACTTTCTCTCTTGTAATCCTCATCAAGGATTAGGACATGCCAAGAGAACAAGTCCAGGATTACGATCCTTATAAAGTTTAGTCTAACAATCCTTTGGAGGTTAGCATGTGGGAGTGTCTTATCTTGCAGGAGATCAAACTTGATATGGATTATAATCGTAGATGGTTGAGACTCTTTCTCTTGTCATGTACTAATCCAACATACTAAAATCTAGTTCATGACACTGTTGACTCTTTCTCTTTCTCTTATCGCTTAGTTCAGTTCGTGTAATTATTGCCTTTGTTTTTAGTGCAGTCTCATCCACTACTAAATCCCAAGCTAGAGACAAAAAAACTTCTTGTTGGCTGGTCCATCAACATAGCTTAATGCAAAGAACTACACTGCATGTGAGCACATTCTGTACTCCTCTAACACCAAGAACACTTCACCAACCCACATAGCAAACAGCAAGTAACACCAGGAAAAGAATCATCATTGAGATGCAGAGTTAAGCTACAAAAGTTGTACTTGTTTTCCTTCTGTTGGACAGGAAAAGGATGATCGAAGAGTCAAAGCTTGATCTGTGATTTATATGTAGATTGGAAATGGCCAACAAAGTGTCATTTTGTTTTGTCTGCAGGAGTTTGAAAGGTATGTTAATCAAGCTTTTGGATGACTTCATGTTCTTACAGCAACAACAATGTATATATAACAGCCAGCTAGATGACAAAAGGAATTGTCTTAGGGAGAACAAAAGGAATCTTCCAGTTTGTGTCTTCACCTAAACATAACAATGATAGGGACATGTACATGGATGAAGCACTGAATCCACAAAGAAGCTCCGTTCCAAGCAAACGCTTGGGAACAGGAACATGGCTTCTATGTCCATGGATTCTCTCTCTTGAGAGGCTCATGGGGTACATTGCTTGAGGAGGATGGATAGTTCGTCAACTGGGCCATGGCGCTGAGGTCACTCTGCATGAGATACTGCATGCCATCAGCATCCATCAGCTGCGCCTGCTGGATCTGAATGCAAAGCATCTCAGCTTGAGCCAAGGCCAGCTGCATCTGGAGCTGAGACACTTGATGCTGGAGGTAAGAGATGGCTCCGACGCAACCATAAACTGGATCCCTCATCCTTGCGTTTGCTTCGTAGACCAAGCTGCTCACTGCATCCGCTCTTTGATGAAGAGGAAGCTCCTGTAGTCAACCAACGTAAACTATCGGTAGACAAAATAGAAGAACAAAGAAGAAGAAGAAACCTGTAGCATTTTGCTAACGTTGCTTGCACCAAAGACCCTGTGGACCATTGCGAACTTGTGGGGTTCATCGGAGGGGAAGAAGGGCGCGAAGACGCAGTCCGGCGTGCAGCGCCTCCGTAGAAGCTTGCAGGAAGCGCAAGGCGAGTGGCTACCCATTGCTTAGGCCACCAAAGCAAGAACGAAGGTGTATGGTTGCAGATGAATACACTTGGTACAGTGCAAGGTTGCCTCTCAGGTTCAGATGAGCTGAAACTATATGGAGATGGGACTGCCTATTTATGATCGAACCCTAAGTTAAAACCTTTAACAATCATAGATTATAGTAATCAAAAAGATAGGAAAGGATGTTTCTATTGGTAATGATAACATATAAAACTAGGCTACAGTGTACACGCTTGTCCTCGAGCATGTTATCATGTGGTGAACATACTCTACATACGGTCAAATACACAGTCACATTACATTAAGCTACCTGCCGTCCGTGGCCATTGTTGATGGGATGCTAAGTTGACATGGAAGGCTTGAAGCAGTGCAGAGCTGAGTCTTAGTTTTATATGATGTCAACAAGGAACTATTATTGCAGTGCATACCTAATGCAGTGTTTGTCCACAACTGGTCCTCATCATTTCCTGTTCCTAATTGGTGCAGCGAGAGCAGGTAAGTTGATCAGCAAGAGCAAGTAGTTTTCATGCAGAAGTAAGTGTTTCAAGTATGTAACACCAATATGCAGGATATTATTTTCTATTGCAAGAGAAGAAGCAAGCAGAACCAATCCAACCACAAACCATGCAGTGCTAAATTCTTGGCATCACAAATAATGTAAGTGCCAAAATCTTAGCATCATTCACTTCTCGTAGAACAAGTTCAGAATGATTCAGGCTAAAAGGATTGAACTCATGAAGTGCTTAGACATCCTCTGGAAGTTTTAGTACAAAATTCTAGTGTCTTATACAAAACTACCTCAAAGTAAGCAGATCAACACACCAAACAAATAAGAGCAAGAAAGCAAAAAAGGTGCCACCTTGAATCATCATGCTCCACCGTGCAACCAAAGTTTGATGAATAGACGTAGAAAATGATGTGCCGAGTGCAATAGTGTACCGGCAATCACCTACTGATGGGTCCACAGTTGTTATCAATCCCAGGCCACCAAAATCACAACTATCCGCGCTCTGATCATGAAGCTGGAAATAGTTGTTGAAAGCATATGACACATTTCCGGGCCAGCCGATCCCTGAGCAAGAGCCACCAGGAGACAAAGCAGAGCAATCAGCAGCGGAACAGGCTTCCGATGCACTGCCAGAAACATTTGATATGTCCTTCTTGTTATTCACCACACACCACTTTTGCGCCAGGTAGTCCACAACATGAGCACTTGCCAGAGCTTTTGAGCCTTGGCCAAGGTCCACATTGTATTTTGCCTGGCCATCAAATGTGAAAATGCCCCAGTGTCTTTCATAATTCCCAGTCTTAATGCTCCGTTGATCTTCATCTAGTAGACTGAAGATATATGTCTCTCTTGTTGTTCTCTTTGGTCTAAGTGGAGTACCAGCTTTGCTCTGCAGGTGGTCAACGAGGCCTTGCATGAAGATCTGGGCAACAGCAGGTGTGGCATTCATTGCACCATCTGTAGGCCATCCTATCTTCCCGACAATTATATCCATTTCAGCATGCCCAACCTTTGACAAAGCTGAAACTATCAAAGTGGTTTCTATACTTGTTCGTTCCATCAGATAATGCATGAGAATTTGTCTGGAAGAGAACAAAATCCAGGGAAAGGTTCTTCTTTTGTTGAAAGGTCAAGAAAGGATTGATGTCAACCACAAAGGGTGAACCATGCTTGTCAAGAAAAGAGAGGAGCTCAATCATAGTCTTGTTGAGATCAGGCCTAAAGTGACCCTTCGAAGGTAGGTTAGACTCAGATTGGTATACATCAGAACTGCAAGGAACAATGACTTTTACCGTGTTTGCTAAATTTGCAGCAGTCAGGGCTCGCTGAATGTTTGTTGCTGCACCAACTACATGGGGCTGGAATGTTTGACCATAACTGAGGAGGAATGCTTCATCACCGACAGCAATAAACCTGTCAATTTATAGTCTTGTCAATATATCGCATAGGTAGGCTTTGTGAATGTCCTTTTCTGCACCAAGTTAATGTGGTTACATACTAATATGCCAATTTTAACGTCTTCATGCAATATAACATAGTATATCTTAGCAGAAGAAGATATGGGCAAGAGGAAACAAACATAAGATGACAAGTCAACATTGTCATCCATAATTTCAGCTTAAAACCACTGACAATATCAAAAAAGTATAGCTCTCATAGGGCCATAAAATCAATCACTAAACCCAAATTTTGCTTGGACCAGATTTTCTTGGCAACAAAACATAAGCTGTCTTGATATACCAACTGACATAAATCTGGAAGTCGACAAACTTTTTCCCTTCCAAGAGTCCAAACAAACAACTTAACTTTCAGCAGCTCACTGCTTGACTGCTTAATTTTGACAATAATTCACTGTCAACTTTAGTGCATTGCAGATTAGTGCATTTAATAAACAGAGAGTTCAATTTCACCTCATCAGTTATGTTCTTACACAATCTATCAACCAAATGTAAATGCAGCAGTGTTAGCTAAGGAAAGAGCGAAATCTGCTAGCGTCCAATCATAGTAGGGAGGGGAAAGGACACAAACAGCTTTCCATCAAAGATATTATCAAAGTTGCCAGATGTTGTGACCAAGAAATCCAGCAATTATTTGGTAGCATGTGACAGTGTGCCAAAACAGGTTTCCCTTGAAGAGTTGCTGCATCTAATAGCGCATGATATCATTTAGCTTTACTCGAACTGCAGAATTTTTTATACGTGGAAGACAACAGCAAATGATTCTCACTACTTGCCTAAAGTACCCAAAACACATTCTTCCACGAAAACTAATCATTCTTCATATGCACCTTAGGTAGCTCATATACTTGAAGGAGAAGTGAATCCGAATGCAACTTATCACTACTATCATTGCAATTTATAAAGGCATCCAAGGCCACTCTTGAGTTCTTGATGTAGAAGGTCATCCAAGACTAACGGCACTCCTACTATTAAAGCTTCCAAACAGACTTAAATCAAGCTCTATCCCTTTTGCCATGTTTCTCATCTTCTTTCAAGCTTTAGTACCTCAAGATATGCCCCAGATGATGACACATGCATATGTACAGGGACAACAAGGGGCATGGAATAATCATAACAAATAATGCCTAAGATTTTCAAAATCTGAAGATCTTAGTTCGACGCTGTTTCAACTTTCAAGTGGCACCCAGTTGCACAAGATACGCATCTAAATACCTTGAAGTTTATAAGACAGGGAAATGCTTGAATTCCTATCAGTTTCCTAGTGGCATTTCAAAGTTGTTTTTCGTTAAGAAGGTAGTGTGTCTTATATCAGTAAATGCCAGTTCAGTTGAGCTACTCTCGTCCTCAGCGCAGCCTTATAGAGATGCCAATGCAGATCATAGTGCAAGAGAAACATATACTGCAACCAAATACAAGGCATAAACTTATCGTGTATGACGACAAACAGCCACGAAGAGGACAAGGAAAATTTGCAGTGGCATGATCACTTTGGGCGCATATCTTACTGATGTCTCGTTCAAATGGCGAAGCTACATAGTGGATGGACAATCACAATCAACAATCAAACACGACAAAGAATTAAAGAGCATAATGCAACACAGACAACAAAGAATCAATCGATCTGCGCAAGCATAAGAGTTACCACAACTTAATACGAACTCTGAACATAAACCCATTAACCGAGATAGGGTTCTAAAAGCAAAATGCTAACTTTGAGAAGAAAAGGATCGAGTAGACAATACCTAAACATTATTTCATTTCGAAACGAGTGTGCAATTACAATCGCCAAGTTTCCTTTTCTTAACCCTAAAATCAATGATAAACCCCAAACAAAAAGGAGAAGAAGAGAGAGAAAGGACTTACTCGATTCGAACACTGCCGCCGCCAGTGCTGGAGACGTAGCGGGTGACGTTGTCGTGGACCTAGCTGACGGCGGCGGACTTGGAGGAGCTGAGGGACCGGAGCATCTCGTTGGGGACGCCGATAGCCACGGCGATGCCCGAGCCAGCGAGGCTGGCGAGCACGGAAGGGTCGGCGTCGGGGAGCTTCACCCGGGAGACTCTGTTGGCCTGGAGGAGCCCCGGCACGACCACGAACGGCGGAGAGGAGGATGTCCCCCAGTTGACGCCCACCCCCGCCACCATGAGGCCGGCGACCAGGCCACCAACAGCAGCAGCAGCAGACGCAAGAAAAGAATCGAACCGCGATTCGACCGCATTCTTTGCCTCTTCTCTCTCTCTCTCTCTCTCTCAAAACCGTTATAATAAAGTTTATAACGTTCCGTTAAGCATCAAGTTTCTGGTTTACAAGTATTCTTCGCACTTCTAGAAAAGGCGGGAGAGAGGTAGAAGGGTCGTAACGGCCGTTATTTTCCTTGCGTTAAAAGGCGTGCGTAACGTAAGGCAACGTGGGCGACCGACAGCGTGACCTGCGCCTTCCGCCGCGCGCCGCGAGGCGTGTGGAAGAGGCGACGTCATTGAGGTCGCCTGCGGCGTCCACAGCCGGACGCGTGTAAAAGGCCGGCAAAGTGGTTTGTCGCATAGTGGAAGCGGCGGGGACGGTGGGACTCGTGAATAACTAGTTTAATTAACCTACTCCACCGCTGTTCCAGTTCGGTATTGTTAGTGTTGCCTTTGTTCTACGCCTCGAGGGGGTTTTGGGCCCTTTTTCTTTTATATCGTGAAATTTCGAACTCTTAACTTTTTCTTAAATAAATTTAATATATTTTTTATAATTAAATTAATATTTAAAATATAAAATATATTATAATTAAATATTAACAATATTATAATTAATATTTAAAATATTATAATAATATTTAAAATAATTTAATATTTAAAATATATTATAATTAAATTAATATTTAAAATAGTTAAGATATAAAATATATTAAATGAGCTTATATTGCAGTGGTAAAAAAAAGACAAAAGTGTTCTGTACGAAAGGACATGAACTAACTTTTTATCATTACGTTTGAATTAAAGTTAAATAGAAATGAAAAAACTCTAAAATATGCTTAGGTTGATTATCCCAAATATTAAGAACCGAGAATCCAAATATTAGGACTCATGATTAGTATAGAGCTTCTGAATCATGAAATAGCCCAATAATAATCATGTTTTTATTTTATATATTTATGAACAAATTTCCTCTGGTTTTCTTATATATTTATGTTTTTTTTGTATATTTATATTTTAGTAAAGTCAGCATTAAAGCTACAGTGTTACAAAAAAAAATACGTAAAGACATGACTTCAGCAGTAGTTGTGAGCATCAGACTCGAACATAAGCAACACAAAATCTCCAAACTCTATAACGAACCTATATTATTCCTCCCACCCGCCACCCTAGTAGACAGAAATGTACATGACCAATAACAAAGGGAAAAATACAAACAAGGAGGCAGAAAGAGAAAATACAAGGGAAGCAACAGAAACCAACAATAACAAATCAAAAAATACATATGAAGAATAGTTCCTCGCACCGAGTTCACTTGCTCTCAAACTTAACCAGCAGTAGGTTTATTTTGCTTTGTTTTGGCGATGTTAACAAGATCGCCAAAAAGCTTATCCTCAGGCTTTGGCACTTTGTTCGGTTGCTGCAGATAGGATGAGGAGGAGGTAGGCATCTGATAGGAAGAGGACTGACTCGCATATGTGCTATTGTCTTGCATAGAAAGGCCATACATTCTCTGTGCAAGCTCATTTGGAGTAGAATAAGGGTATGCAGGTCTCGCTGGATCGTAGAATTGGGCACCCGGTTGTTGCCCGTATCCATAGGCTGTCAGCTGAACCCCCTGCATGGCCTGTTGACCCACACCTACCACATGCCCTCCAAGCATATGCTGTGGAAATGTAGATGGCATGTGGCTGTTCTGCATTTGAGGATGCATGCCTACAAACTGATTGCTCTGCATTAGTTGAGGTTGCAGCCCTGTAGGCTGGGCACCCAATATATGTTGTGAATGCATGCCTCCCAGCTGACCACCTGCCATAGGATGGGGTGGCATGTCTGCATGCTGGCTGGTTTGTGCTGGAAAGGAGTGCATACCACTAAGCTGCCCAGTTTGATGTGGTTGAGGCTGAAAACCAGGCGATTCATGCTGGACAGCTTCCGCCTCCCAAGGCGGTGGGGGAAGAGCTCCATCTTGATCATTTGGACCTGCAAAAGAATAAATTACTCGAACAAAAAACATAAAAAGTATCAGGTCAAGACATGTTAGCAGATAAAGGTTTCCGAGGAAATGGTTTATGGTAACAGTTAAACAGAATCATAAAACAACTTTTCACATACTTTCTCAACCCAAATTGTGTTGGAAAACAACTATGACATACATATTCTGTACAAACTGTTTGGTTTGCTATACGAATCCTTTCCTACCATTAATACCATGTTTCAGTATCCCCCTTAAGTACCCTTAAGTAGCCTCTATGTGCAAATAAATGTTTATATGTTCACGTACAAACACACACACACATATCCATATGTGCACAGACATAATAGTCTTGCCAGGGGCACATGGGTATTGTGAAACAAAGTCATTACCTGTTGATGCAAACCATCCATTGCAATTGAACAGTCTGGATTTCTATGAAAATGACTTGGGCCATACATACATAGAAGTTCTTCCACTATAATCATATATACATATATAGACATGCATATATGTGTTTGTGCATGTATGACGTGTATCTTTCATCAAACGCAACACTTATATTCCATTAGTAAAAAAAGGCGCAAGTGTAAGCAATCTTTTATATGAACTAACTTTTTATTGTTTCTTTTAAATTAAAGTTAAATAGAAATAAAAAACTCTAAACTATGTTTATGTTGATTGTCACAGATTAAGTGAGGATATAGAATATGGTTCAACTTATATGAGATGATCCCAGATATTAAGAATCATGATTCCAAATATTAGAAATCATGATTAGGATAGGGCTTTCGAATTATGGAGGTTGCAAAGAGGATTTGTTAGTGCTTATGCAATATTTTTGCTATTAAGGATAGCCCAACAACCATCATGTTTTTTTTATATATTAATGAGCAAATTTACCCTGGTTTTCCACTCTACTTAAACATCCAAATCTGAATCACATTTATTCTTTATGAGTTAAAGACTTGCTTTGGGTATCGCCTATCCACCACAACTAAAAATACAATCATTTCTTATTCTATTTACTGTATAATGTAATTAATCAGACTGAACATCCTCTTTATATTGCACTAATTTTAAATATGATATATATTCTTTAGCACTCAGCACTTAGTCCATAAAACATGAGTCTTATCTTGGTGCAATTTTCTTTTCAATGGAACAGGTTTATGAGAATTGCAGAACAGGCAAATGCACTTCACTTTAACCATTCCAGTGTCATTCTATGAATAATAGGTATCCAGAAAACTATAAAGCTTAATGATTCCAAGAATTGAAAAGACAAGGAAAAAGTCAATAATCATACCATAACTGAGTGCCTGCTGCTGTGGATTGTATGTTGAAGCGAGTTGACCATTCCATGCAGTGCTTGCCTGGTTTAGATGCACTGCAGTGTCATGGCTTGCCTGCCCAAATTGAGGTGCCCCTGAGCTTGGGCTGCCTCCATCATTAAAACGAGCAAGCTGTTGTGTCTGCTGGGGCAGCTGAGGGTTCGTTCCAGTGGCATATGTTTGTTGTGTTGCAAATGTAGAATCCGCATCAAAAGCATTTGCAGGACCTCTGCTGTTACTGTTAGCATTGTCTGGATAAAACATGTCTGCAAGTGCTAACATGTTCTGATCAGAGGCAGAATTGGTATTTCGTTCACCAACAGGAACAAGAGCTAATAAATTCTCCTTTGAAGGTTTATTAAAATCCTCGCCACTGAGAAGGTCCATATTAGCATGAATTATTGTTGAAGACTTTGCTGAACCATCAGATACAGGTGGTGCGGGCAGCAATAGTTGCTGAAGAGGGGGCTGGTCTGTTGAGCTTGTGCTTGTAGCTGACAACCTACGTCATCATGTCAAAATCACATAATTTTAACGGATCAAGAAGAGGAAACGTCACTAAATATTATAGATGAAAGCCAAAGACTACTTAATGCTATCGATGAAGTTCTTCAAAGCTCCACTCATGAAGCACATAAGGTATAAACAGTTAACCTTGACAAATTAAATCTCATTGGATAATGACTTCAAAGAGATTATCTTCAAATTGGCTAAATATGGTACACATTCACACAAAGAAAGAAGGAACTCAAAAGAAATGTTGTTTTTTAAACTTCAAGATGTGTTTTTCTCGTTGAAGTGATACAGAAGTCCTCTAAATTTTATAGTGTAGCAACTTCGATGCATAATTTGTAAATATCAAATTACTTGAAGAAAAAGCTTCCTACCTCTGATCTTGCTCTTTGCTAGTTGAAGAATCATCAACATCTACAAGTGCCTGAAGAAATTTTTCTTTCTTAACATGAACAGCAATTCCTGCAGCAATAGCATCATGCTTTGCTAGTACTTTCTGCAAATTATCATTCAGAGCAAGTCCTTGGCTAAGAAGTTCCTCATCTCTGTCACAAACAGAATAAGGTAAAGTGTAAATGGCTTCAATATTGATAAGCGATCAGCACAGTCAAGTGGCATATGCAAGTTAACTACTGCATCTTACATCTGATTGAAGAGCATAAAAGATGACAGAAGCAGTTAAGCTAAAAGAAGTAGAGGGAGAACTCAGAGAACGATCACTTGAATTCAAGTGAATGAAATGTGCTAAGCTTTAATCATTCTTTGAAATATGATATGTACATTAAAAAATAAATTAAAGGTTACAGATCATGGTTTTTGCACAAGGAGACTAACTTAGTCCAAATTTCACCCACATTCCTGTGAAAGATTTATGAAACATGGGGAGAACAGCTGAAAGGACTTACGAGGTTGTGTTAACAAGATCCACCACTCTTTGTTTATAAGTACGACATTGACTGACAAGGTCAACAATTACTTCCTCTTTGAGCCCCTGCATATAGAAACCAAAAAATGGCTGAGCAATTGTTAAATAACACGATATACTAACTTGGTAATAGAAATCAGATCATAAATGGATCATAATAGAAAATCAGAGTGCTATTAATTATAAATTGAACTATGAATATGTAGTTCTCAAAATTGAGTTCAGGGAGAGGACCATAACCAAGGTTCGCTGTACCGTATCGGCATTTCGACCTGGGCTCGGTATGGTATGGTACCGGTGTACCGGGCGGTACATCAGGGCGTACCGAGCGGTACACCCTGGTGTACCGAACAATTTTATACTTTTTCATACTGTAGCAATGCTACAGTATAATACTGTAGCACTGTAGCGGTACCAGGCGGTCCACGTACCGGTAACCTGTCGGACCGGTATGTACCGCCTGATACGGGCGGTACGCTTCGGTATGACAAACCTTGGAGACAACAAAGATTCATTATCAGCCAAGACCTCTTACTCACTTAGGTCTATATATTACATTCCACATTTTCATAAGCACAAATTTAATATCCAACTTTAAGTTAGAAGATCATATTTGACAACGACATGTTAACAAGTATTAAGATAACAAGTCTCAAAGTAGAACATACCTCCCTGTTTCCAGGGTCTACGGCATTCAACATCTCTGCAAGAACATCCACGAGACCACTGGCATTCTGAATCTCTGTGAGACTGAAAAATTAAATAAAATTTGTATCAGAACCAAAGCTTAGGTGTGCTGAAGTTCATTGCAGATAACTGATGAGAATAGGGAAACACCTCAAAGCAGGAAAATCAGATGCTATTGAAGATTCAGGTGCTTCATTTTGATAATCAGGACTTCGCACTGACGGAGGATAAGATTCCAGAGGCCGTGTTTGTGGCGTAAATACAGGTGCAGACCTCTCAGATCTCTGAGGAAATACAGCTCCAGCTCTCTGATGGAGGAAAATTAGAAATAATATCAGAGAATATAGAACAATGGAATCATAGTTTGACAATAATTTTATCAAAAAATTAATTGGTTCAATTAGCACTTTATTTCTGAAATGTACCAACAATTGAAAAATCATACAGAAAAAATAACAATTGAAACTGTAAGGCCGTTGAAGAAATACAAAATGCACAAACACATACCAACAGTTCCTGATATGCTGCATGGTATTGAGGATATCTTGCCTGTGGACCACCAAAAGCTTCTTGCCATGTATCCATTAATGTAAGTATCTTTTCCTTAACGTGAGAATCAGGTTGCTGTGTGAAAATAATTTGAACTTAGTTCAGCATCCAGTAAAAGATAGTAAATGAGAAAACATCTTCAAGTGAAAAAAACTAGAACCTTCTTCTTTACAATCTTGACCATCTTGTGTAACATATCTTTCTCAGCAACATGCATATGAACTATTTCCCCACAATTTTTTATCATTGTTTCCAATAGCTGCAGAGAATAAATTAATTGCAATTAATATAAGATAACAATCTATAGAAAATTAAATCCAACATGCAATAGAGGAAACTGATTATCCTTCTAGTAGTGTCAAGCCAAAAAAATATCATGACATGCCTCTAATTGGCATGCCTCTATTCCAAAACACACAAGCCATAAATTGACCTTTGTATGTGTTGGCGCCTCTGGTACAACTTGGCATTGTGAGCGTAGCTACCTTCTAGCATAGCAGGTTCCAATTGGGATAACTAACTTGGTGTTAACCAATGCATTTTTTGGTGTTAGTGCCATGCCAAAAGTGGATTGGCAAGGTATATGAGCATAGGCAGCCATGGTAGTAGTGACTACTATTGTTGACATCACCTTGAAAAATAAAACTTATTGTCATCTTGAACTTTCCAACAAGAACGAGGCTGTTGGAAATAACATTTCGTCTCCAAAAGCTGAAAAGTTTTAAATTACCAATAGCCTATTGACAAAAGGAACTGTATTTCTTAAAGAGGTCAGGGACTTTGGCTTGGTCCAACCTCGGATCAGAGGCTTGAGTTTTTGGATAAAGTCAAGAGAGTCAAAAATGAAAGATTCAGAGTGAACTTAAGCCCAAAATAAAAGGAGATCTGTTCATGTCAGATTTTGGGTTCAATCACACAGACTTAAGCCCAAGCCTAAGAAGTGCACCTTCCCCTGTAAGTTGCAACCCATAGAAAGATATCCTGTCGAACAAAACGTAGAAATTAGAACTACCATCTCTCAGTTTCCTCTTCAAATTGGTAGATTTATTTCAACTCTAACAGTGAAGATAACTGCAACAACCTCTTAGCATAACATGTAACTAATCTCTTCTCGAAAAAAAATCACTGCAACCGGTTTGCAAAATGTGTTTTCTCATCTAAAAAGATAAAGATCTCCAGAGTTCAACTAACAACTGGTTCCTTGATCTTACCATAGAGCAACAGGTCCACAAGAGGTACTTTGGCAAGCAACAAATAAGCTTGTAAAGAGAGGATCTGGGGTCTCGAATAGAGCGACCAAAGTATGCTTTAACAGTTTGATGACATCAAAAACATTGTCCAACATCCAAAATTTTTTCAAAAATTAAGCCTAAATAAAAATCAATCTAAAAGCACAACAGAATGCATAATATGCGGCAAATAAACTGTAATCTCTATTGAAATGATGCTACAAAAGCACAGATAAATTTTCTGAGAATAGGCTGAGAGTTTGAATATTATTATGAGAGTTGAACTAAAGATTAAGCCTTAAGCCTCAAAGTGATTCAGTGCATAAGATACACATTTAATTCAGTTCAATGTTGCTAATATTAGCAAAAGCAACACTGGCACTCTGTTTAAAATATTTCGTGACAGAGGATGTAGATCAAGAGGCTTTGAGATATGAGCAAATAAAAAAACCTCCAGATTCGAAGAGAGAACAAAATAAATCCAATGTTTTATTATCTTTTAGTTTATTAACTGAACTACAAAGAAGCAAATCATAAAATGGCACACTGACATATGACCAACAAGCACAAATCTAATGTCCCTTTCTTCTTTAAAAAAATCGCATCTTGTTTTTGAGAAAATGTTCAGGCCTAAGAAGATAATCATAAGGAAAAAGCCTGAGAAAATTCATTCATGTAAGTCGCAATATAGCTTTCAAGATCATAAGTTAAAAGCCCCACTTTGCCACATTACAGAAGACAAGAGTAGAATAATCAAGTTTAAAGAAATCACTAGGATCTAACATGGAAGTTGAATAATGCCACTAAAATGAAATTCATAAACAGAAAATATGGAGCATTGACAAAAAAATAGAAACAAATGCAATCTAAGATGTCTTCAAGTAAATGAAAATCCATCATCCTTCTTAACAAAGAAGCACTAGAAAACAAGAGAACTGATAAAAAAACAGATTCAGGTAAGGATACACTGTGCAGTAGATTAACAAAAATACACTAAACAAATTGTCACATCAAGAATTGAAAACAAACCAATAAGACACAACTAGACAAAGCCATAACATACAGCCAGAAGCCAAACTGTTTGATACACTTACTGAAAGTGCAAGAAGCTGAACCTTCGGGCTTTTATGCCCAATACGTTTTTTGAGGGCTCTAACAACATCTTTAGCTTGCCTGGTAACCAAAGCAAACAAAAAATTAAATCAATGTAAAAACAAACCTTACTAATGCATGTAAGTTGCATGTGGCCCATCATATAAGAATGCAAATGTCATTGCATTAACAAATATGGTCAAGTATGAAGTTGGCATGAAGACCCTAGGAGAAAATATAACAAGAAAGAGACCATATAACTTAATTGCAAAGGAAGTAAAAGTCCCATAGATAATTGACCCCAATTATTTGAGCCTCTTCTTTAGACCGAGGTTCCTCTGATAGTTCTGATTTTCATAGTGCCATTTACCGATACGACAACCCCAAGTTAACTTCTGAAACAATAAGACATATAGGCATGAATCACATGCCAAGTGTGTTTGATCCAAGGTCTGCCATATCGAAGCGTACCGCCCGTATCGGGCAGTATGTACCGGTCCGATAGGTTACCGGTACGCGGACCGCCGGGTACCGCTACAGTGCTACAGTATTATACTATAGCTCTGCTATAGTGTTACAATATGAAAAGTATAGAATTATTCGGTACATCAGGGAGTACCGCTCGGTACGCCCTGATGTACTACCCGGTACACCGGTACCGTACCGTACCGAGCCCGGGTCGAAACATCAGTACGGTATGGTACAGCGAACCTTACTTTGATCAATCTCACAAGGCCAGATAAGGTTTCATTTCTTTCCAGTGTGAATAGTTCCATATCATTCTCTGTCGCCATGAACAATATTGCAAAGGAATTATTTAAATATCACAATTTTAAAAAATCTGAGACGATCATATCCTGCATTTTACATTATATCTCATCAACGGGATGCAGATTGCATGCAAATTATTGATTCATGTTCCATGATCCTGTGACAAGTTTTTCACAATCAAGTGAAGGAAACGAACAAAGAAGGAACTACCTTGAAATGTATGATTTGTGCCTAAAGGTTTTTAGCTTGCTTAATTAATTTCTCGCCTTCACTTTTACTTACATGTGGACCTACGTGCAATGATGAAATCATTCTTGCTAACTACAATATTATATGAATGAATCCGAAGATTTCTTATTGGATAGATACCAGGAAAAGCTTAACACGGTTTAATTCATCCAAAAATATTCCTGATCCAAAAACAGGTTAAATTACTTCACCAAAAGCTCCCACCTCGCCTTCTAGGATAAGAATTCCGCAACATTCGTCAACGTGTATAATTAATTGCAACACGAAAGACCATTTATGCTTAACAATTGCCTAAAAAAAAAAAGAGAGGTAAAACCTCCATAAACAACAAAAGAAGGTATGAGCGATCAGACGCGATGATCGCACAAAGACATCCCGTGAAACAATCACCTCAGCTGTAAATCACAAAATGAGAAGCATCGGCGGCAGCATCACCATTGCTCAGGAAACAAACGTGAAAATAGAAGGGAAGGAGAAGGCAGAGCAGAGTCGCATACCCCGGGTCGCGATTGAGGATATCACAGATCTCGACGTTCATGGCCCAGTCGGGACCAATCAGCATGCTGCTTGTGGCACGTTCCACCAGCGCGCCCGCCATCGCCGCGAGCACGGAACCCTAACAAGATGGGATCCCTCGGGGGAGCTCCGATCCAATTCCAGAGAATGCAACAACAGGTAGCCCTCCTCCACGGGAGATCGAAGCTGGACGGTCGGCGAAGAAAGGGAATCCCTAATGGAGGAAAAGCGCGTGCGCCCAACTCGAATTCGCGTCCGCTTATCTGTGTGTGTGTGTATGAGAGAGAGAGAGAGAGAGAGAGAGAGAGAGAGGAGTCGGTCGTGTTTTCTCTTCCCTGCTTCTTAAAAATCTACCCCGGCGGAAGGCGGACGGATGAATCAAAGAGAAATCACACGTATAAACGCTCGGGTTGACGTTAGGCGAGCGGCTCAACTTTCGCGGCCGAGCGCTCCCAAGCGAGGAAATGGCATCTTGCCATTCGTGACCGTTGGTGGACCCCCCGGTGGGTGTTTTCGAAGGAGTCCCTCACGTGTCACGTATTTTCATATCAGGCCCGTGTTCGGAATCTTTTATGGATTTACACATCCGTCCTTCCAAAGTTCGAAAATAACATATCTGCTCCTCCACATTTTATTATGACATGTATAAAACCTTCCAAATATTTTGATGACACATATGTTAATAATTAGAATCATTCGATACTATTCATTGTAATTATCAACGAGTTTACTATTATCAAAGTTATGTATATACATATGTAACCAAGTATCATCTCATTAACCAATTAGGTGGAGGTCAGGGAAGTCTCGATTAATACGAGATTAGGGATGACATTGGGATTGTTTGCCGCAGTAGCTAATCGATGGTTAATAGATATATTATATTTGTTAATCTTTTTTTCTTTAATGTAACAACATATTTTCCATATTTACAATACATTATTATTAAGTATAATAAAAATTTATAACTCCAACATTATTATTGAACGCACATCGAAACTAAACGGTAAACCGAATGGGAAGTCATACAATATAATATATTTCTATTTCAACAATAACTTTTGTATTCGTCTACAAAAGGATTAATTTGAGATCCGATGAAACGACTAATTTGAGGGGTTAATATTGCGAAAAGCAAACCGAAAACTAAAAAGTGTGTTTTGTCACTCTTCTCTTTCCGCACCGCACCGGATTTATCGATCCTCCCTTCCCTTTGCGTGCCCCTAAAATTAGGGTTTGTTTGGTATACCTCCCACCTGAATTCGTCTCATCTTCTCTTCTCTTCTCAAGATTCGATTCCCTAATTCTCCTCATCGCGTCAGTCTTCCGATCGATCGAACCTTTCTAGAGTTGTTGGGGTCGAGGTGAGGATTAGGGTTAGCGATTCTGTCGAATCGATGTCCGAAGGATCTTGATCTGAGTCGAAGAAAGCGAAGCCTCGTTCTTCTCGATGGCGATCCTTGGGGACGCCCTTCGCCAGGCGTTCATGCCGAAGCGCGAGTACGAGAGGCTCCGGGAGGAGGAGCGGGCGTGGGGCCGCCTGCAGAGGCCCCTCGTCACGTCCGCCGCGGCTGCCGTCGGCTTCGCCGTCCTCGTCGCGGTTGTCGTGAACCTCAGCATCGTGTTCCCCAGGGAGGCGAGCCAGCGCCCGTTCTGCCGCGATTGGAAGGTCCTCCAGGCTTTGCAGCTGAACGTGAGCCAGGAGTCGGAGCTGCATCGGTACCGCGGGGCGTTCTATCTGACGGACCAGGAAGCGGTGGACTACTACTGGATGGTGGTGTTCGTGCCTTCCGCAGTCGTCTTCGTGGTCTCCGTTGCTTACCTCGTTGCAGGTTTGACTGGATAAGGGAAAGTAGTGGTGCATAGGGTATTAGTCCTTTGTCAACCCTAGTTTTGGCCTTCAACAAGTCTTTGGTGTTGTGATGTAGGAATGGCCGTGGCTTATGCTGCTCCGAGAAGACATCCATGCCTCAAGGTTGTTGAGAATAACTTCTGTGCTTCTAAAAGGGGTAAGTTCATTCCTCTTCTCACTTACTAGATTCAGATTCCTGTACATTTGCTAGGATTTTGCCGGTTTGAAGTGGCGATTGAAGTTTAGTTTGGTTTTTCCTGTGTGCTGTTCTTTCATTATTAAGGTGAACAATGTAGAGTACAGAAGATTTAAGATTGTATGTTAGAAAGAAAAGTGACCAGGCATAGTGTAGATGGTTGGGGAAGAGTCATGCAACCTTGTTTTTCACATCAAATTAATTATCTTGATAGATATGTACCTTAAACAGGAACTTGTAGTAACATTTTTTGTGGAATAAATTGACTTAAAGAAGAATGATGTCGTATCTTCTCCTAGTTCTATTAAGTTCTATGGCATGGGGCTGCAAGGCTTTGAGAACCTTTATTATGTCTCCAGTGAATGTGCTTTTTACCTTGCTCATGCTTGTCATTGGAAGGAAAAGGGTAATGTGGGTTATGCGCCTCATGTTGTGTACAGAATCCACACCACAAGCTCTAATGTGACAATACAGAAGATAATTTGGTAGTTCTAAGTATATTTTTTGCCTGTACTGGGAGTATGGACTGCGTTTAATGATTCTGGAGGGAAAAATCTAGATCGTAGGAACTAGCTATAGACTAAAAACATGTTAAGACCTTGTGCATTATCTTACTCATGGATAAATATTTGCTTGAAGAAAAATGATGAGTATACATGTGAAAAGATTGATTCCTGATTTGCACGTGACAAATGTGATAGTTTCTGGTACAAATTTGTTATCTGGCAATTCAGGAAAAGTTAGCTACAAGTGTCATTTCAATGCAGATCGGTTTAAACTAATGTAAGAGATTAATCTGTTTCTTAACTTCTACAGTGGCAGAGAAATAAAGAGGATAAAGGAAGAGCATAATAGATGACAGAATGAAGAAAAGAAAGAGAACCAGGGTAAAACTCGACAAATTCAAGAGAGACCATTTTATTTCACTGAAATCACGTACATTGTTCTACTAATGCTTTAGTAGTGGGGTGCCTCATCTTTTAGTGAGGTTATATTGGGAGCAATCTGGTTCTCTTTAACAACTATTTGAACAGGAAACTTTTAGAGTATTGGTTGACTAGAACATTTTGATAACCCCACTGGATTTTCTGAAAGGAATATGAGTGCTTTTAGGGTTTCTCTAATAAAATCAAATAGGCCAACGGAACAGACTCTTTTAGAAAGCTAGTTTGCTATGACAAGATTTTAGGACCTCCAAGCTATTAAAATCAATTGGTAAACTCAATTGAAATAAAAAAAGGGATTCTTCCTTTTATAAGGAATTAGAGCTTCTCTTGGTCAATCGAATTTTATTGGTCTTTCTCTGGACTTTTGTAGTTCATGCTTCTAATGACAAAATCTTCCTAATATGAAACAATATAACTTGTGGTATATTTGCTGTTAAAAGTGTTATATACATGTGATGTCTTGTAGGTGAACAAACTGAAGCACTTTGAACTATCTATAAAGATAAGATTTGTTACCTCTAAATACAACCATATATCCAGAAATCTTGTTGTTCTTTTTTGCCGTTCCAAGAAAAGTCCTGTTTAAATCATTGCTGGAGGTGGTGGCAAGTATGTGACCCTACTTTTATTAGATTGATTGTTGCAGATCAGACCAATCTTGAGGTCCAGCTCAATCTTAAATTTAGTAGAAGCTTATTACAAGCACGCATGAAAACATTAGTCAAGCGCATAATGTTTAGGGATCATATGAATAAAAAGAAACTATACGAGTCTATGTTCAGTATATGCATGTATGTATATCAATGTAATTCCTTTTATTTGTGTCATTGTATTCCACTTTTATTTGTTAAGTTGATTCAAGCTTGTCACGAATCAAATTTTGATCTTAAATGAATGGGCAAAACCTGAGCATGTTGAAAGTAATTTTGCAACTTGAATCAATTGCTTTTTTTTAATCCAGAAATCTGGTAACAAAGGAAAACCACTGCATGTCATATCTTTGTCTACTGTTGTAGCTAGTAATCGTAAAGCATGATAAGTGGTTTTGACAATTGGCTGTTCATCATTTAATAGCATGAGACCTCATTGCCTTGGCTCTTCCCCCTTTTCTTTCGGGGTTTTTCTTTGTGTGTAGATTGCCTTATTGTTTAATGCATTTTTGCAGGTGGAGTTCGGTGTCTGTCCATTCTTAATGTTGTGTTTGCTCTAATATTTGGTTTTATGGCGCTGTTTCTCGGATCAAGCCTACTGACGATGGGTAATAGCTGCTTTATTCCACTCTTTTGGTCTTATGAGATTGCTTCATGGGGTTTGGTCATCTTGTATGGTGGCACTGCCTTCTTCTTAAGAAGAAAAGCAGCTGTCATCCTTGATGAGGGTGACTATGCCGGCCACAACCTTGGGCTGGAGATGTTGGAACCGGCAACAGAAGTGTCTCCTGAGATAGAGAGGCGACTTAATGAAGGCTTCAAGGCTTGGATGGGTTCGTCCCTCCTTTCCTCCGACGAAGAAGATGGCCCTGATGACTATATAGAGGAGGGTCATCCAGCTTTAGCAGATGCTGATCAACAAAGAAGGTGAATTTGATTCATGAAGTAGTGAAACCTCCTCTCTAATTATATGTTCTCAAGAGATGTACAAATTACTGATTTTCAGGTAGACTCGCTTTGGCGCTTAATGGTGGAATTTGGAATTACATTGTTTGCGATGTAAATAAATGATCAGGTTTGGAAGTTAAATTTTGTATGCATGAATGAAGCTTGTGAGTCTTTCTGTAATTTTCTTTCCTTAAATTCTGTTTTCAGTACACAACAAATAGACATCATGTTTAAGCAAAGACTCGCATACTTTTTCTCTCACTTTCTCTCTAATTTCCTTTGCAAATTCAGATATTGTAGATGGATCATTCATTCATTCTCAGTTCAAGGTATCCGAATGGTTGTAGTAGAACATTTATGTTATACAAAAGTAATTCTTATTCTTTGAAATCCGGTTGAAGCTTTAAAGTTATGCCCCTTGCTGCATCAAACATCCTTGTTTGGCAGGCCAACTTGTCTTGTGCATAAGTTGATCCTTGCTTGTGTGGTTTTATTCAAGAGGCAAGTGGTCTCTCAAAATTTTCTTATGATTTTGCAAAAGCATCCTTGTGTTAGAGTAATATGACCAGTATAATGACTCGAGGGTTCCAGTACAAGCCACAATCTCAGGAGAGGAAATTAGGTCCAGAGAAGATGGCAACTCCTGACCAGTATAATTGCATCCATGTGATAATTGAAGTGTTGTTATATCTGCCATCCTAACTGCATCCTTGTGATAATTGAAGTGTTCTATTTCCCACGGCAGTGTTCATCAACATCTGACTGACTGTAGTATCTAATTGCATCCTCGTTTTCAGGCATCCACGCTGGTTGCTCTGCAGGTTAAGTTTCAGGCCTCGGATGGTTTCAAGCCTTTTGGCTTTAACCAACCCATATTTGTGATTTCTGTCTATGTTTTTGTGGGTCTGTCAGCATTGTGTATTAGGCATACATCCCAAGACAGACCACAAAAGCGTTTCTCGTGTTCGTTATTTACAGTTCGTTTTCAACCCCCCGCCCCGCATTAATAATAGAACATTGAGAGGATAAATTGGCATTCAGTTAGAAAAGTACCCATGTACGGTGGTGCACTCTTCTTGAAGAGCCAAATGAAATCTTGCTCTCAATGAAATAAAGTGTACTTATCCTACAACGCAGCTTAGCTACAAGGAAGGCTTCTTTCAAGGCATTAACAAACAATTTGGTAAAGTAATCGAGAGAGAGAGAGAGAGAGAGAGAGAGAAGAACTATGAAACCGAGATATTCACTGGTAAGAGAGAAACTGAGTGTATATGAATTCTAAAGTATTCATTGCAGAATGAGCATCAAAATGTATAAATTCCATCTGGGATATAATAGTGAAGCTACATACCGCAGACGTCTATCTATCTATCGGCAAAGCTTCCAGATTTTTTCGGTCAAAGCTTGCTGTATTTACAAGCATCAGCAGAAGAACAATCAGAATCAGCCATTCACATGAATCATGAAGACTCATACCTAACTCTGCTGCTTCCCCCTATACAAACACAAAAAAAGTTCCCACTACTTTTGATGAATATATGAATTAGCTGACAGGAGAGGAACAAATACATACATAACTTACGCAATTCTAAATGACATGACTCGATGGACTGATTGTATTGGATTTATATTCACTGACATTCTTCGGTTGCAATTAAAATTGACAATCCATAAAAATGAATATACCTGAAACTGAGATAAAATAAATCAGGAAAGCAATCACAGCGAGGGGCATTTACATATTAAGATGGCAAAGAAGCAAACTTTTTTACTGTGATGCCTGGGAGCTTCTATCTGCAAACCTTCATAAGATACGAGGACTGGCTTGACAAGCTTATGGGTGTCTCTGTGTTACCTGCTTTCACATTTTCTGATCTCTTGTTGACAGGTGTGCCACATCCACTAAAATCAAGAACTCGAGCCTCCGTCTGTACAGGATGATAAAAGTGATGAAATTGCAGGGTATAATAATCAATGCAGAAAATTGTAGATAATTTCATGAAATATGCTTCCAGATATATAATTTTAGTTGAATTTAGAAACTGAGTAATAAATACAGAATTTTTCTCCGTGAAGTATGTAATGTCAAACCAAGTGAATGATATTAAAAGTTCAGAATCATGAAGAATGTCGTGTTTCATTTTGCATGTCCAAAAGTGCATATTGGAAGTCTACTTTGGCCAAATGCTTTTCAGGTATGTGTCTACAAACAAATAACACAGATCCATATTAAAAGCCCTTTTTTTAGGACAAAAAATACAAGTACCATGATTTTTGATGGCATATGATAATTTCCCAGCTCTTTGTCAGCAGGATCAGCATTTTCATCTGAGAATTTCTTGTTGTCAGATTGTGGTCCATTGCATGCTCTGACGGGGCTTCCACTTATCAGTACCTCTTGGGCCTCTGCAACTGCAGCAGCAGTGTGCTCACTTAACTGCCTCATCAGCCCAATGGCATCATAACTTTGATCGCCAGGGCTCATTAAATATCCCATGTCCTGTAAAATTAGGAATGAGAAATTTGTTCTACATAGCATTAAACAATGTAAGTTAAGACTCGACCACATAATAGAAAAATAGAAGTTGATCAATTAAGAAGGCTGCCTATGGCTGTTATCTAAACATAAAAGACATTTCATTCTGGACATGTGATGATGCCTCCATAAGTTTTCTTTTGCCCCACTTATCAGTCCTTAAAGTTTTCTTTTGCAAGAGCACTCTGACAACGACAGGCTACAATGGCCTATCTATTTGGGTCAGCTATATAGATATTTTTTTCTGCTATTGAGCACTATATAATGCAACATCTCTATTTAAATCAAGAGTGCATAAATTTCATCTTAATGTTTCCAGTAAATTCTTTTTAAGTCTCCTTCTATCTCTCCTCACACCATTATTCTTAATCATCCGTGAACATGTTCATACAATTTTTAATGACATTATATCATTTTATTCTCTATCAGGGCACCACCTAATTGTTCTCAAGAGTATATTAGTAATTGCACATATCTACCACAAGTCCATCCTAATTAAAGTTTTGTGCCTATTACTTCTAACTGCCAACACTTTGATTGATAAAAGAAAGTTCACCTTACAACTGTTTTATAACTTTTTTATCCAAGGAGACACAATGATCATAGAAAAGCTCAATGCCCCTCTCCACCTAAATTATCTTATTTTTTTTTCTTTATGCACGATATATTCATCAATCCTTTTTTCTACCAAATAATAGATCCATAACACCTAAACCTTTTATTTACAAAACTTCTTGTCTACGTCAACTACATCCGCATTCTTTACTAGAAGCACATTTCATGTGTTCCGTCTTCTTCTCTCTTTATATTCTTTGTTATCTATGTTTAATCTTATGGGCACAAAACCAAATTGATCCTCTGAAATACTATTTTGAATCTTATTCTTCTTTCAATCTCCCTTCCACAATGCTTCATAATGTGACATTAACTTAATTCCTCTATAATTATGGCAGCTTAGAATATCTACCTTTAGCTTATAAATTGGCACTAAAAAGCCTGTAAAATCATTTTGTATTTTGAAATTAGTTTCATGTGTAAGTTGTTTGCAAATGTCATATTGTTAACAAGACTTTTGTTCAACATATCTTTCTTGGTAACAGAGACCAATTTACCTAATGCACAATATAAAATTTCTTATGCTTGATCCAACTAAAAATATCTATATATCAACTCTCCATATGTTAATCCAAATAAGCCTGCATAAATACTGTACCATGGGAAAATGAATATGCGAATGTATGAAGAAAAACAAAACAAAAGTAGATACATAATTATCAAAAAGATGATTTTGTCTAACCTCAAATGCTGTATCAGTGCCAATTCCATGTACTGGAAGGAGAGAGTTCACAAACCAGGGTGACTTCCATGCCGAAGGAGATTCAATTCCCCTTTTAACACCAGGGGTATCAACAAAACTGTTAGGAGAAAGATATTAGCGTTTGAGAGAACACGAGATAAAGAATAAATCGTTCTCAGTTCTCCACAACAAAAGCAGAATAAATTGAGGACAAGAATTGCATCATGATGTTTATTTACCAAATTACTCATTTTAATCAAAGTTCTATCTTGTTGGTTTCTTTCTGAAAGAACTGGTCCAACACAGAAGTTTTAGTATAAACATAAAAGTTGAGATTAAGGGAAAAATATCAAATTTGTTCATTGCATAAGAGTTTCCATTCATCTTTTTGACTTTCCAAAAGATTGAGAAGTGAATAACAAAATAATTATTTTGGAAAAAATATGCGGATAAAGCATCAAAATTGGATGTTCTAGAACACAAGGCTATATAAAAAAGGTTGGGTTCTAGCTCTTCATTTCAAATGGGAAGTGTAATATGATCCAGGGCCACTTTATACATGCTAATTCCATTTTGCCAAGTCAAGATATGGTTCAACTAGGTAGAGAAAAGCAATAGAATGTGTAACAGGAGAATCCCACAGAAAAATAGCTGCATATGGAATTATAAAATAGAATCGACTGTTGTCCAAATAAAATTATAATTCATTAGAAGCATTCACATCATGTGAGGCTATTCCTACAGAAGGATGCTACACCTATGCATGCATGTAGGGAAAACCATCCAACATCCAGCCATCCAATGTCACTTGGGTGATCCTCATCTATGATAATAGTGGGCCCAATAAAAGAAGATTAATCATTAGCAATCCTCAATCCTAGAATTAAAGCAACATAAAAAAAACCCAATTAAAATTTCAAAGTTCACTACAGTAAGAAAAGAACACAATGAAGAATGTATGCAGTAAAGAGCCAACAAAATATATCTCTAATTATGAAATCCATCATACCAAAAACTGAAATTAAATTTAAATGACTGAGCCAAAACACAATCATCTCTTGATCTACTTTCTTACATGTTTAAGTGTCTAATGTCATCATCAACTGTTGAACTGCATTTTTCAACCGCAAAAGAAGGATGTGTTGATGGATCAGATTGTACTGATATAATAGAGACACAATGTGAGTCCTTATTTTCACTGACTCTAGGAGAAAAGAAGGCAGAGACATCAAAAAGAGATTCAGCACAATCATCTAATTGACCAAAATTTGATGCATTCTCTGAGCTCCTGAGAGTGTGAACTTTCAAAGCTTTAGCACCAACGTTTAATGACCCATTCGTAGGATATCTGGTGCCACGTGGAGAAAAGAATACTTTGTTATTAGCATTGCATTCGACGAGAATCCGAGGTGGCTGCGGGACAATAACCACAAAAGAAGAATGATTTTCTTATCAGCATTTAGTTAAACGATAAAAAATTAAAATGGCACAATTAGCATTTAGCACTTCAAAAGACTGACTATTTCTGTTTCAACTATATCTCTAACACAACAAAGCAATATTATTGATTGATGCACAGTCATGGTTAAGACTTTCTATGATGCCCCACCAGAACGACACTGAAATTTGGTATTAGGTTGGATAAATATATAGGACTAGATAAATGGGCCACATATGGTAGCTTGAGCTTAAGCATTTTAATGCACATAATTAACGTCCATTTCCTCTAATGGTATGGGCTAACAGCTCCCAAATCATAACAACTCACACCAGAGTGGACCTATGAAAATTGAAAAGGATATATAAATTAGTGGATTAGGTAAGGGAGGGCTACCTATGGGTGATAAAGGAGCATGTCATAGTGTCAAGCCAAAAGTCAAATCATTCTTGCCACATGTTGCCTTTTAACAATTTATTTTGGACTAAATGTGCTGTATTGAAGTTTGGCTAGGATAAGCAGTATGGAAGATTCTGGTTCTGGAATAACCCAACATCCAAATGGATTGATATATAGAACTAGATGACCTTCTACCAGTAACTCAGCTTTAAAAATTTCTGGTCAAACAGAAGGCCCAATTTATTTCAAGTTATTGGGCAAATAGCACAAAGTGTCAAAGTCATGACAATTTTATAACCTCATAATGAGGGACTCTTGCAATATAGCAAGAGATATTATGTTGACCAGAGTACATAAGGAATTATGTCATATACCCATGAATATAAAAAATATATATGAAAGAAATGGATGTGCGATATGGATGATTTCTCAATTCAGATGGAATGACCTAGACAAAATTAGAGACAGCTACAAATTCTGTCAGCAGATCAAGAACTGGGATTGAATAAGAACATGCATTAGCAAGAAGATCGATATATTGGACAAATCAAACTGAAACTGAGGCTTGGAACGGATATATTTAAAACAATCACATCACATGTTGATTGATATTTTCACTTTAGAAGTAAATGTATAAGCCAAGTGTTAAAAGCTAAAACATCAATGATCAAAGAATATAAGAGACCAGCACAAGACGAGAAATTTTTAAAAATTAGCAAATTTACACTGCCTGATCTGAATAATATTTTTTTTCTTTGCAGCCATTGGCAAATGTCAACAAGTTAGAAACTTATGATCATATTCTTTTCTAATTTTGATTTATGAGTTCTTGATAGAAACAACCTGGAAATTGAGCAAGCTTTTGGTGAATGTACTTGCATCAAACTGAGAAATTTGTTTAAAGGATATCTTTTTCAAGCAAGAATGTTGTTAGTTAAATTCCTTTAATTAAGACTGATAACTCCATGAACACCGTTTTGAAGCACCATTTTGAAACACCTTATCCCTTATAAGGTACAAACATATTTGATGAATGAAAACTTACTCTCCATTTTGAAGCACCAGTATCAACTTTGCTTGCTGCACTAGTAGCTGATGTAAAGGATGCCATTTTACCATATGAGTTAGCTGGGGTCTTTGCTTCCATAACAACATTTCCAGCTGTTGCATAACAAGACGATTGGCATAGATTTTCTTTGTCTTCATCCCCAAGAACAGGTACCTTATGCTGCTTATCTGAAGGATTACTAAATCCTCCCTCAGCATAACCTGGAGGAATTTCATTAAAAATGATTTCATCGTTCACATTAACCATGAAAGAATTCTCAGCATCATTTACAGGGGATGAGCATAATGACACACGAGCCATATCTTTACCAGGTTTCTTGTCAGTTCTCTGTTCTGGTATAGGTGATGACATTTCACGTTGCCGTTTCTTCAAAATTGATGGTGTATACATGAAACTTTTGACAGCACCTTTTAAATGAGCATTAGGTGACTCATCATGAGAAGGTGAATCCCACAGACTATACGGTTTAGAACAATTCACAGAGGACATCATCAGTTGACGAATCCCAAGGGGACTATATGCCTGCTGAGGATCTCCGGAGGATATGAGGTCACAGCTGATAAATGGAATCTCTAAGCTTGGAAAACATGGAGGTTCATAAAACAGAGCTCCAGAATCTGACAAGTCTGCAGACTGCACAGATAGATTTTCATCTGATGACATAGCCTTGTGATTGGTGTTTGGAGTAGCAGAAACCATCATCACTGTGTTTGTTTGTTTTGGAGCCCCAATTTCCTGTCTCTTATCTTCTGGGAGAAAAAATTTAGATTTACTGCTATCACTGGGACAAAGAGAAGAGCAACTGGAATAAGCAATGCCATCATATGAACATATAATGACATCTGAATCATGAGCTTCAACAGAAATATCTCTAGTTTCAAGAGTAGAATTTCTGTATAATCTTCCATCACTACCACATGAATGAGGAAGTACGGCCACCAAATTGTCATCATAGGAAATTCCAAGCATACCTGATGAGCTGACAGGATTTGGACATGAAGTGAGACTTTTACAAGCCTCAGAACTAAAGGAGTTTTGGCAAATTGTACCAGAGTAATAATCCAAATTCCCAAAGCTTGAATCATCAAATTCAATAGGACATTCTTCGATACCTCCTTGAAGAACATCTAACCCAGAAAGATAGTTGCTGAAGCAACCAGTTTCACATACCAAAAGATCACTCTGTTTCTCATATGCTGAATCATTATCTGACACAAAATTTGGAAATTTAAGATCTGAAAATTTTGAACATGAAACAGATCCATTTTCGTTATTTGTTCTACAGACACTATGGTACTCCGATGCTTCCGTTAACCCCGGTGATTTCTGGGAAATCTCTACTGTAGAATTATTAGGCAAATCATACTTGCTTGCTTGCTCAGCAATTTTTTCAGATACCTCCTCAGTTAGTAGTAAGTTTGCAGATGCAGAAACTTTAGATTGTTCTTCGGGAACAGCACGTGCAAAATCCTCCATATAGGCATAATAGTCGTTCATGCATATTGACAAATGAGAATCCTGAATATCTTTTCTACTAATATCCCCATCTAGATTCATGTCATCATCCACTGAAGCCGCATTGGCCAGTTTTTCATTTTCATCAGACTGAGAGCAACCAACATTGGCTATTGAAGTTTGGCTGCATTCTGTTGAATCCTCAACCTCTAGCCTGTCCTTTAAACCATTAGCACTGCCATTTTGTCTATTGACGACCTGAGCAGGACTTTTAGCATGAGGAAGGCCTTGAAACTCTGAAAGAAGTCCTGATGCTAGGTACAAATTTATTTTCTTCTTTACTGAGCTGTTCCAGTGGTTCTTTATTGCATTGTCTGTCCTGATATTTCAAATCATGACAATATCTAAATAATCATGTTGGCAAATGCCATTAAGTGATAGAACAGTATATAAAGGCAGAATCATCCATAATATCCCCGTCAACAAAATAATATTGTAATTTGTAGCAGCATATGAGTACTGTAGTTTGAATATTGAATCATCACAATTCTTTTGATATGTTATTTTTCAAGAAAGTATACTGATGTCTAAAAGAAGAAGACATGGTACTATGAATCTGTCTCAATGGACACAAACACAGTTGAAAGGGTACCAGATAGGTAAGGTACCCATTTGATTGTCAACAAGCATCATTAGACAGACAAAAAACTCAGAGACATATAGCACCATCGTGGCAGTTGAATCACGTGAAGACATTGTGCCACTTAAAAAAACCATTATATCATTCTATTCTCACCTGCCTGGTAAAAATTTTGTCAACTCTGCCCATTTGTTTCCATAAATTTGATGAGCATGAATCAGTGCTATTTCCTCTTCTTGAGTCCATGGCTCCTTATTTATGGCAGGATTAAGATGATTATGCCACCTACAATATATTCACTAAAATGTTGTAAACTTTTTCATAAATAACAAATTACAAAATCATAAGAACATGATATCAGAAGAGAAATATGTACAAATGGCCAACTAAATAATAACACAAGTTTAAAAATTGATAACATCAACCAAATGACAACATTAGTTTAGGCAATTATTCTAGTATCATCATGACAAAATCAGTTGTGTTACAAAAGAAATGTTTATCAGTGATTTCACAATATCACTAAATTCATAGTCCAAAAGAATTAATTACCCAATTATAGCTAGAATCCTAAAACCATCTGGTACCACAAATCACCCAATTATAGCTAGAATCCTAAAACCATCTGGTACCACAAATCAAAGAATAGTAAAAAAAAGTTTGCTAAATGGTCTCTTGTGAGTATGAAGTGTACTGCAAATTAATTTGACTGGCAAATGTGAAGCTCATGTTATGCCTAAATCTTTATGAAATCATGACAGCAAAACTACTAGAAGAAATTTTGCATGTACAAGTTGTTGACAACAAGTGAACTACCTTATTACTTCCAAGTAACAAACATCACAATTCACATGCTAGAACAACTGATAGTAAAAGTCCTATGCTAGAACAACAATCATGTTCACATTCTTCACATGATGTATTTAGATACAAAGGAGGTAAGAGAACTCTTGAACAACTGACAGTAAATGTCCTATGCTAGAACAATATTAGTATGTGTCTTTACTAGGACAAATGTCACCCACTTCCAACAATTTGTTTGCTAAAAACTGCTGATGGGACACCAGGAAGCTGATTCTGCCTTTGACAATCACTGAAGGGTTCACTTGTCACGTTGTGTGACTATCTAAACATCAGAATAAAATGGAGTTTTATTTGTTACTGCTCTCTGTTCAAAAAAAAGAAAGCTGCAGAAATGAGTTAGCACCACTTCTCCAAAAACTAAGAATTATTATCTGAATGAAATTGCTATATTCTATGAAACCTCAAAGTATGTTGTTCCAACAAATAGTTAGCCTGCAGCTAGTGCAAATCCCTTCTTCAGTATAAATTTAATAGAAACAATTTTAACACCAAAGATACGGTTTGTGATTTTTGGTTATCTGGTATAGCTTCTTAGTTTATGTCAAGGAACCCACGTGTTCCAAATCTTTAGATATTGTGCTGGTCTCGTAAATGTAATGAATTTCACTTCTTCATTTGCTTCACACTAGCTGGAAATTATTTTAGTAATTTATTGTACTGGAAGATAAATTGTACACTTTGTAATCGATGTCAAGCTAAGAATAAAGTTATCAACCAATTTAGCAATGTTTCTTAGTGATTTACCTTTCCCTGCACTGCTTCCCAATGCGCCCAGGTAATGCTTGTGCAATGGCTGACCACTTTTTTGGTCCAAACTTTTTTACCATGTCGATTATGATTTCATCTTCCTATCGAAGAGTTGCATAAATCAAATGAGGCCCCAGAGAAAAATTCAAAGAAAAGGACAAAAGAAACTTTTATTATTAAATTATTCAACTTCAACATAAGCTCACCTCTTTTGACCATGGCCCTTTCACAAGTTCTGGATTTAAAACCTTTTGCCACCTATGTAGGCATTGAACGTCAGTCCGGTCTGGAAAACATTCAGCTGCAACTCAAGAAAAACAGAAGAAAACATATGTTTGCTTTAATATATGAACAAATATTAACACAAAAAGGAAGAGAACAACACTTGAACAAATATAAGAGTGGAGTATGTCATGACATGAGAATTATGTCCACCTACTTTGAAAAAAGAGAAGAAAAACATTAGAACATTGTCATCTCATTAAAATCAGAAACAAAGGAAAAAGGCCAACACATGAGGAAAAAATGAGAAGATCAGCAAACTGAAAAAAAATAAGAGTTGAATGTCATGGGAATTATCTCCAACAAAGTTTCAATAAAGCAAAAAAGCATTCCACCATTAAGGTCTCAAACAGTCAGAGAAACCATTTAGCTAAACATCTTGAATAAGAACCAGCAAATCTTAATAAAAGCACACACATGAATGGACAATGATAGATTTGTTTCAGTTTCTTGCTACCTGAATATCATCAGCAAAGTAAGCTGATGTAACAGTTCAAATAATTTTAAAATAGACAAAGAAAGGAAGTACAGAAATTTAAGACCCCTGCAATTGTGGTGCTGGTTAAAAAGGAATATATGCACCTTTTGATGGCATGTGATCTTACTGGATTCTAAATTCAAGATGCAGTTCAGGAGATTAGCAGTAGGCCTTTAGTTATCGAATGACCCAGTCAACTAACAATTAAGGAACAAATTGCCAGAAGCTAAAATGAAATCTAGAAAATTTCAAAGAGAATAAATGTGATCAATCATCATAATCAAGGTAAAAGGTCAAGAAATATGGGGAGGATACTTTATTATTTACCGACTTTGTAGTTTTGAGGAAAATATATCATTTAAATTATTTTCTAGATCTTCATAAAATTTTCCTTTTTTCCCCTTTTTTAGTTTTCTTTTAATCTCTCATGTTACTTTTTCCGGTTGAAAGGTTAGTCAGACAATATTATTTGGTCAATCCTTCTTAATAAATCAGATATTCCATCACTGATCCTGAGATCCATGATGATTCTTTGAACTTTGCCAAGGGAAGTATCACATTATTGGAAGTCAAAAAGAATGTCATGTCTCTAAGTGCCTAACAAATCCCATGGGGCACGATTGAGACTCACATTCTGGAATGTAGTACATAATACTCTAAAGAAACTTAAGGGTAAAATGAAAAGACACGGTTCTAGCATAACTGTTGATATGACATACCTATCTTTTTCCAGTGTTTGCCTTTGAAACTCTGAACAGCTCTGTACAATATGGCATCCTGCACACATACACTGTTTTATATACAAGAACTAGCATAACCAACATAAAACATTTATTGTTAAGATGCCTAAAGCCAGATACGATGCTGATGTTTGCAAAAGAGAAAAAAAAAGGAATTATGTTTGGTGAGATCAAAAAGCACATTGTGAGAACTGACTCAAAATCAAGTCCCATTTGGGCGAATAAATTAGCGAAGTTGACCGACGCAACTCCTCATCGGCCCCCACTGTGGCCCCCGCATGTCTCCGGTCCACGCAGCGCCCTCATCACCCGAGGGTTTCTCACGGCGCTCCTCACCGCGGGGGCCCCAATCTGCAGCCGCTCGCCGCTCGCCGCTCACCGCGCCGCCGCCAGCAGCGCCCTCACCAGCGTGGCCAGTCGCCCGCAATCGCCCGCCGCCGCGTGCTGCACGCCATCCTCCTTCCCTCGCTCCTATAAATGGAGCTTTGAGGAGAAGAAGCGAGACGGTGAAAGAGTCCCTCGCTCCTATGGAGCTTTGGGGAAGGGCAGCAAAGGGGTGAGGGTGAAGTCGTGAGGGAGAAGAACACTCTCTACCCAAATCCGACCAAAGCTTCTCGTCCTCCCCGACTCCGACGTCCGGTCGCCGATCTCCGTCGCCGGCCGGTCACTGTGCTCATTGCAGCAGCTGCCGAGAAGAGGAAGAAGAAGAGAAAGTTGAGTGGTCAACTTTGGTCTCACTTTTGGTCAACGAACCTCATTATGATTTTTTACTATTTTATGTTTTTGTTAGATTTGGATAAGTTTTTTTAAAACCCGGGAGAGATTCTCATCCTGTTGTGAATCCTATCTTTGTCAGGTTCATTCGTGGGAATTTTTTTCTCCTATATTAAATCGTTTTATATTTATTTTATAATTTTTCTATCATTTATTTATTTTTTATCGATTCGATAACCTCATAACCTATTAATCCTTCCCAACGCACGTCAATCGTAATCAGATACTAAAGTGAATCAACACACACATTGAGTAAGAATTAAAATTTGATAATCATAATCAGATACTACGTGAACTATGAATTAAAATCGGTCTCTATGTTCAACAGAAGAACATTATCAATCAAGAAAAACATACATGCTAGCATGAAACAAGTGACAAAGCTTCTATCCTTATAAACTATTCCAGGATACTTATCTAGAGGTTGCAGGGGAAAATGGAAAATGATATATGTCATCAAATTTTTACAAGTTATCCAGTCTATGAGATACAATGAATAAAATTAACATAAAAAATTGAAAGCACATATTAAATTAATTCTAACCATAAGGTTAAACAATTTACAGTCATCAGAATCTGCAGTTAGGATGATTTGCAACAATCTAAGTGAAATGAAATGTGAACAGAGCAGTTGACTAGTGTGATAAAGAGCATAGACAAATGGGAAATCTGACAAAGAGCATATACATTTGCAATATTATCTAATATTTGATAAAGATGACAAGATGAAGCAAACGGTAACGATTAAATCACAGGCTCCAAAAGAAAACTATACTGCAGAAATTGAGAGAAAAAAAACATTTATTTGGTTGTCTCTTCAATTACCCATAGCACTCAACAGATGACTCGTTTTAAATTAACAAAAGCAGCATATCTGACTCATTTTATCTGCATCTGAATATTACCTCCTCAGCCGTCCACTGTCCTTTGGTTGAGCGGCGTGTTGGACCAGTGATCCTCCTACAGTTGATTTATAGAGGAATACATCAGATTTGCTTTCGCATGTTTCAATTCAGACAATAACTTTTCGACATTGATTCGTTCAGATGTAACTTCAACAACGAGTCTAATTGAAATACTCTTATTCAAGCATAAGATTCCAAATGCCATGATCATAAAGAAAAAGAGTTGAAATCAAAGAAGCAGTGAACATCAGAGTTACTACCCATTTAAGGATCGTTGCCTCAGAAATTCATCGCCACTTGCTCCGTGAGCAGCCCTGGAAGTAACAGCTTCGCCTTTCGGAGCACTTTTTCCATTGTCACTTGTCATTTTTACCGAATGATGAACGAAGACTTATGTTCCAATCCCAAATCGATAAGCACTGATTCAGGAACAACTTGCAAAGCATCATCAAGCACCCAAGACTCTGAAAAGAGATTCGTAAAGAAAAGGAAAAACCATAGACTGCAGAAGCAATGGAGAAAGAACGTTAATAAACCAAATGAAAACCAACTGTTCTTGTCAGAGAAAACAGGGGAAAACTATCTTGAGTATTCAGATTCAATTGTAAATTTCCAATCTCAGAGTAATAACTTCAAGAACGTTCACTCAATAGATGACGACAAGAACAATTTTAGCAATTTAATTACGACACCCGATTATATTTTCAAATTGACAAGCCAGTGGTGTGTTGAGCTAACGAATTCGAAATCACCCATCAATAACCCCGTTCCAAAAATTCGCAAGGAAGCGAGACAACACCTTATCAGAAGCCTAATCGTCTAGAACCTTAACCTCTTCCGACAGTCAACCTCTCCATCGCAAGCACCGAACCACAAAGTACCGATTCCCGATCTCCCATCCAAAAATCGAGATTCCACAATCTCCATCAAGAAGCGATCAAAATCCACAACGAGCTCGTGCCCGGACAGAAACCCTTATCAAGAACGACCGCTCCGAAAAGAAACTATTATAATCGAAAAGTCGACGACTCGATGAAGCTACAACGCACCTGATTCAGATGTCCACCAGCTTCCTCTTTCAAATTGCCAGAGAGAGAGAGAGATTTGTTTTATAGCGTTCTTGGGTTCTTTTCTTTCTTCTTTGTAGCGTATGCGAGAGCGGCTTCGAACCCTACGTTTAAACTTCGAGCCACCATCGGGCGATCCGACGGGCCAGAGCCCGAGTACGAATATCGGGACTAGATCATCACCGTCCGTTTGCAGTAGCCATTCTTCCGCTTCGCCATTTTGAATCCCAACGGCTGTTTACCGGATATTGCCGGTCAATAGGCCGGTTGGCCACCGGCTCGTGGTTATTACCGACGAACAATTGCCTCTCTACCGTTTCACCCACCTTCTTTGGCAAAGGACACGGCAACAGGGCCCCAGCGGGACCCACTCCTACGATGGTGAGGGAGAGGTGCAACTCCGAACTTCCTGTCCGACGCATGATCCCGCTGTTCATGATTGGCAAGTGAACGGCTGTGATTCAATGTTTTCTGTGCACTGATGTAATAGCGAATTCTTATTCTAAGATAACTGAAATCCTACAATAGAAGTCATATAATTTGATGTGATTGCATGAATTAAAACACCCAAATCGATCGATTTTATCCAAGGAAAATTATCGACATTATTGCGAAGCATTGATCGCTTGGAGAACAGACGAACCAAATACACCTGGAACATGAGGTGGTGGGATATCACATTGTGATTTGATGCAAAATTGTGATCATGAATTCTCGAATTCTTTGGATATCCAGCTTGATACGATGGTTTAATGGCCACTTCGAACCATTATTTAATGTGGCTCGATCGGATTATCAAGAATCACTCTGATACTTCTGCTGATATGTGCTCTTCAGAGATAAGAACAAGTTCATCCTTTTTATCTTCAGAACATGAGACAGAGAAACCATAATAGAGTTTGGATCAGAAAGCCAAGCATGGAGTTGATCAGTATGGAGAAGTTCCATATTTCGTTAGACGAAGTATGAGGAGTCAGAAAGAGCAAAGAACAACCGAAGGATGTATATGGGGGTCACAGTTGGGAGCCATTAGAACAAGGTCAGAACAGCTATTTTGCGTTTGTGGTTGGAGTTGACATAGCAGAAGGTCCTTTGAAGATGAGGAAGTTGAGTCTCTCCAGGCAGAAGTAGACGAAGGTGCCCTTTCTGTGGGTGAAGAAGCACCCAAACTTGGATCCCACCACGCATTGCCATCCAGGGCCATACCTCACATCAAATTCCTGGAACACCACAAGCATAAGGATGGGAAGAAATGGAGAAACAAGAACGAGAGAGAGAGAAGAAGAGGGTGGAAACCTTTATGATGTGAGCAGCTATTCCCGTGCAGTCAAGGACATCAAAGAGGTCAAGAGCTTCGTAGGCACAGGACATGGCTTGCAGCTGCATCTTCACAGGCATGTCTGTGTCCTGGATTATTGCCCTTCCTTCCAACATTCTGCTCTTAGCCTTGTCGTCTCTACGTTCTACTTCTCTATCGCTTCGGAATTAATCCAAATAGAAGGATGCTTTGGATGTGAGCTCTCTCTCTCTCTCTCTCTCCCCGGAGCTCATTTCTGCTATTTAATGTATGCTGACACGATGAGGGGAGAACCAGTCTGGCTTCTTCTCTGTCTCTCCTCTGGTAAGACCGCTGAGTCATGGCGTTGTCACTGCTATTATCTCTAATTCAAGCAAAGACGTGGCTTTTGGTCTCTAGCGGTGGCGAATTAGGCCGGTGCAGACCGCGTGCCAGCTCGATCTGGGTATCACGACGGCGGGTCTCTTTCACCATTTGTATGCATGAGAAGATTGTGATGGCAAAAGAGTTGGTTTTTATGCCAGATGATAAAGCCGATGCCTCAAGTGATGCTGCATCCTTAATGAAGACAGAGGACTCCCCCTACACAAATCAAGGTTGAAGCTGCTATTTCCACGATGAATGATATCTTCTAAACGAGGAACCAATCCAAAACTTCATCTCTATCATACAGGTTAGAAAGGAAAGCATAACTAGGTTTTCTTCACACTTCTAATCTGACTGGTTGGCAGTTTACATTTGTAATCTCCAAATATCACCAAGTAAATTTCAATCCTAACTAAAATGCAACAATGTTTAAGTTGCAGTACTCAAATGATGGAGTTAGCTAAGAATCTGACTTCCAATCTCCCATTCCATTGTTCCGAAAAATCTCTGTTCTCATGCTATTTCCATTAAATTTTTTCTTGCCTGTGAACATTAACAATGCTGCATGCCAATATGAAGCCAAGTCTAGCCACAGTATGTTCTCTGCAGTCAGCATATAGAATTTTTTTTTCCCAAACCCAAGCAACATGCAGGCTTAGATTGACTTCTGGATACGAGGCTAAGATGCAGCAGTTCACATAGAATATAAGTTAGAAAACTGAACGTTGCATTAAGGTACAAATTGCAGACTGAATTGCAGTATATAACATTCATATCATGAGATACATTTGTGGATAACTGATATATGGTTCCATTCCTTTTTTTTAATCGCATTTCACAATGAAACATCATTTGTAATTGAATAAAGGTCCTGTAACAACCCGTATCACAATTTTATCTTACCATTGTCATCAAGCAGATTCTTGAAAGCTTGACCATCTTTACCAACCATCAGATAACTTGTATGATGCTCACATGAAGTTGTGTCATCTTCAAGTTCTTGCAGGGATTTACTAGTGGAAGCAAGTTGTTCATTAGATGTCATCATCTTCTCTGGAACATCAAACTCTTGTAGCTCCTCATCCCTGCCTGTTTATCCTTTCGAGCCTCTCCGTTTCTTTCCTCTTTTCTGCAAGACCATCTAAACCAAGGCTTTCAGAGACAAAAGTTTGCCCAACTCTAAACTCAAGTTTATAGCAAGCTTTTCCTTAATAAAAGCAGGGACTGATGGGGAACAAACTTAGAGGAAGAAGGCTGTTCAAAACGATCGACAAAGATTCCGATGGATTCACAACCTTCATATGATACTTGACTAATGTTAGAAGATCAGATAAGACAATCTACTGATGTAAATGAACCTTATCATGAAACTATAAGCATAGTTGGTGATTGAAAACCGTACATGAATTACTTCAAACTTGTTCCTGCTATTCTTTCTCATAAGGAGACTACATGTCTTGAATATCTTTATCATTTCTGAACTTTGCATGTCCGTCTGCTTCATAACCTCATGTTTTCGGTAGGCAAATAAGGGACTTCATTTCTTAACTGGGCCTTCCTCTCTGCTCTTTCTGCTGCATTGACAGCTTCTCTCACAAGTGCAACAAAGAAAATTAAAAATTTATGATGCTTTCATTTAAATAACAGTGGATCAAGCCTCATTGCCCAAAAAAATTGTTAAAAGCATGCAAAAATATTTGACCAGACCACATTTTAGATGAAAAACATTGACAATGGAAATATCAGAGTTAAAAGCAGAAAATGGTCAACAAAGAAATCTTGGAGTAGATTCAACTCATTCTAGACAACAAACTAATTATGTGAAAGTGCTCACTTGTCACTTCTTCAAATTATCTAGCAAACAAACAAACAAACCTATTTTTACAATGATCTGACACCCTCGAGAGAAACCTTTGTCTATTCAGGATTCCTGATATCTGCTGCAGACTGCTCTCTGTAAACACACCAAACGAAGTTACGTCAGAAATTTTCGTGATCTAAGTTGACATAATAGCAAGTGAACATGTTATTGCAAACACGTTAACATGCTGCGATACGTGAGCATTCGATTGTTCTGAAGCCTCCAGGAGAGCATATCTTACTTATCTCTTAAGCCTAAAACTATGTCTCACTCAATTTCCCTCACAAGGCACTATTATCACCAAAAACCCTAGATGGCTAAAACGAGAGACAGAGAGAAGAGAATAACATTGAGACAATAGAATTATTTATACAACGGTTACATCGACTAGGACGAGAAACAATAAATTTGGCTAACCAGCAACAAATTTGGCTAGAATAGGAGAAACAAATGTACAAGGAACCAGTCAAGATAAAGGAACCAACTTTAAGGAAAAAGAAATTAACAGACATCTTCGGGGAACCCATACTTGATAATCTCCTTGTTCTCGTGCTCGTCCAACTCCATGAAGATGAGTCAGTCGCCCGCTCGTGGCAGGGGCTTGAAGTAGGAAAATCATCTCCGCCTCTAGCTTCTTGACCGCAAAACCCGGTGGCCAGGAAACCTAGGGTTTCGTGCGCTCCGATGGAGAGTCTCCACGCAGAGATTTCAACAACAGAGCAAAATCTAGGGTTTTTGGAACCAATAAAAGTAGGGTTTTTTTTTTTTTACCTACGACCCTCCCACGACGATGCGAATTCGACCACTGGTCGAAAAGGGGCATCCAAATCGATCGAATTTATGATGGAGTTTGTTCTTCATCGAAAAGGGGTGTCCATGACAATGCAAGAAATCGAATGAATCGAAGCCGTCGAAGTGAGAATGGAACGGGAGAATTGGGGTTGGTGTTTTGGCCGGTGGTGGCTCAGCGTGACCGGTTGACCCTCGCGGGGCTGTTCATATTTTTACGTATTTAAGGTCGTTTGGAAACATCATATTTTTCCTTAACAATCTCAATATATCATATATGCCCTTACAAATCTTAATATTAACATATAGTGATTATTAGTCGTAATAAATGATCATATGTACAACTCGATATCGCTGGAATCCAATTGGACATTCGTTGGGTCCACCTCTCCGAGAGAAGAACACTGATCAAACTCGTCCGATGCGGTCTTACCTGTCTCATCCTTCCTGCCATGTGATCGGAGGGGTCCATGGACCCCGGTTAAAAGGTCGCTGTGACGGGTGAGCCCCGACGGGGTAGTTACATAAATTGATGATCCTTCCAGATGCCAGAGAGGAGAAACTGAAACGAACGGAAGCCCTTCGAGCGATCGATTTCGAGAGAGGTTTTTACTTCGATTCGATCGCATAGTAAAAGGAGGGCGAATAATTTCCCTGTTCGCGAAGAGAAGATCGAGAGATACGAAGGTGAAAGATGAGAAGGCGATGATGATGGGCGAGGATAAGTCGTCGCCGTCGTCGATAGGGATGGGGAGCAGAGAAAGAGATCGGGAGCTGCTGATTCCGGTGGGGGAGGATCCCGCCGATGATGGTGACTCCAAGACCTCCGCCGCTGCGGCCACCGCCTCCCCCTCCCGCCACCACTCCGGCCGAGAGGTCAGACTCGCCCTGTTCTATTTATCTAATTGGCCGTGAAAGGTTTCATTTTTTGTTGCGTCAAGATTGATTTTGGACATCTCCTTCTCGATCTATAAGATAAGTTCTTTTTTGTTCGAACCGTCTATCTTGGAGCTTGTAGGTTTGCATGGCTCCGGTTTTCCTAGTAATATCGAACAGTAATTAGAGGAGACTAACTTCCAATAGTGTACTGAGTTTAGGTTTTTGCTAGTTAACAACCAGTCAAACTTTAGTCGCATGAGAAATTAATGTCATTCCTTTTCTGCCACCAAATTCTTTCATTTTTTATATATTCTTACAAAAACACCCTTTCTGGTTTCTACTCCACAATTTGCTTTACTGTGCATCTGGAACTCGAAAATTATACACGTTTTGTCAGTCTTCTTAGCTAACTCAGTGGCTATGTCGAGAGAAACAACTATAGACTTTGTGCTGCCTTGTAGAGATCCATCTGATCTTTTTTATGCGAATAGCTGTTGTCTGATAGGACACAATTCCGGATTACTAGTCTAATTTTACCCACTAAATCTGGTTAAATTCCATATTTTGGAGAGGAATGTCCGGGCAACGAGCATGGTCTACCCTTTGGGCCATTATGAACCCATGCTGTTGAGATGCTGGCACCATAAAGTACAAGTATCAACTTCCTTCTTTTTGTATGTAGTACTTTTCTTTTTGGAAACTGGATCAGAAATGACTTGGCTTGCCTTTTCTTCTGGGTGTGCTCCTAGCATTTGTTTTGACTCTGGTTAAATAACTACATGAATATTCAATAGGATGTGAAATTCCAACTTGCTTATAGTTTGAGGCTTTGAGCAATTAACATTAATCTTCAATAGGATGTGAAATTCAAATTTGCAAGGCTTCTTGAAAATAGCTTTAAGCTGAACTTTAATTATACAAGTAACACATTATAGGTCAAATCCCAAAATTTAAATTATATAACTCGGTGCTAAAGACTTGCCACTGGATCGATCTTGTTCTTACATACTAAGCATGATCCAGGAAGAAGTCCTTATACTATGACCATCAGAATGTACACGATAAAACATCCCAAAGTCCTTGATATGGTTTCCTGGTATATTCACATATCCACTCCATTTACATTTGTTCTGAGTCTGCATTACTGTAGGAAGTAATACAGATCTTCCTTCTGCAAGGAAGGATGAAATTCTAAAATAGAAGTTATGGCAAACTCATGGGAGCTTGTAGGTTTTTTCTGCTCATATTTGTGACTGAACAAATATGACTTGTTGTCATGGCTCTTAATTGACCCTCAGATTAGTTTTATTTTCTTTCTTTGTTTTGGACTAGTTTTTTCTTTTTTCCCCTTTTTTTAAAATCACCAGAGTAAGTTCCCAAGCAATCTACTGGTGCACTTAATTTCTTTATCTATTTTTTTGTGGGAAATTATACATATCTGGCCAGCATATGTTACATTGGAAGGTATATGTCCTTTTACTAGTTTTATAGTAATTGCTATTACTTCTGTTTGCTGGAACCTGAAGTAGCTTTAACAATTTTTCTGCTTTCTTTTCTCCTTGCTACAACTTTTTTCATTTTCTCTTTTCTCAATGTAATTTCGTACTGCACTTGATTTATGATTGATGCTCTTCCATGCAACTCCATAGATATTCTTAAACGCTGTAATTTATTTTACATTGATTGACTTATCATAAGAATCTTTGTCATATCCTTTTAATTGAAAAGTATTACTTAAACAGGCATTTCACAAAGTTGTTCGTAGTTGGGCTTCAAAAAAGTTCATGACCGGATGGTAATTTTCTCCTGAATGATTTACACTTCTTCACAATGTTGAGCTAAGTATTGGTTCACTGTTATGATGCTATTTATTTTTCAGCTATTTTATATGTTGTTTCATTAGTAAGAACCTGTTATTGGTACTGACCCTTTTAATACATGATTTTTCTTTGCTTATTTTGCTCATTTTTGTGATACTGTACAAGGGTAATAGTTACTGTTTATATTGGTAACAAGAGTATTGAATTATTGAATGAATGCTTCTGTTAACTAACTTTTTCGACCTGTAAGCAAGAAGAGATTCAGAACCATCTGTTTCTCATTATTTCTATCAAACAAAATTTTCTTTTTAAACTGGTTCTTCAAAATTGGCAATATCTTTCAAACTTGTTCTTTTACCTATTTTCTCTTCTTTCTTGTTACCCCAATATGCCATTATATTGTTAAAGATGCTATACAATCCAGTTATTAGGATAAGTATTCTGCAATAGGAGAACTTAGTTTTCGGAAAAAAAAACAGAAAAAGCTTTAATTAGGAAAATTGCCTTCATTAACATTGACCATATGCATTTATAGTCTTTCACATAAAAGGAGCATTTGGAGATATACAGAAAGTCATTTGATTTTGGTTCTGATCTAAGTAAATTTATTGAGATTTCTTTGTCTTTTGCTGTTCTGACATCAATTTTATTCTTGCAGTGTTATCCTATTTCCAATAGCAATTACTTTCTACATCACTTGGTGGTTTATTCGTTTTGTGGATGGATTTTTCTCTCCAATCTATGCCCAGCTTGGAATTGGCATATTTGGTATGCGTAAAAGTTTTCTAAAAGCGTTCTTTTTATTTAAGAATGGTCTTATGTGGTTTATTTTTCTCTTCTGTATTCTTTGATCTGCCAAGGGAGATCAATCTTCTTCAAATACTTATATTTCTCCCATTCTCCTGCTGTGGAGCTCACTGCTTTTGTTCTTTTTTATCAGGGCTTGGTTTTATAACTTCTATCACATTCATCTTTTTGGTTGGAGTTTTCATGTCTTCTTGGCTAGGGACATCTGTTCTTAGCCTCGGTGAGTGGTTTATCAAGCGGATGCCTTTTGTTCGCCACATTTACAATGCATCTAAACAAATTAGTACAGCCATATCACCTGGTAATACATTCTTTTTACCTTGATGGGTCTGTCGATCCACACTATATTTTGTTACTCATGATGTCTATCTACAGATCAAAACACTCAAGCCTTCAAAGAAGTGGTCATTATAAGGCACCCTCGAATTGGTGAATATGCATTTGGTTTCATCACTTCAACTGTTGTTCTTCAGGTCTGAAAACAAACATCATTCCATCAGTTTTCCTAATCTTGTAATATTTAAAACATCTAGTCTTAATAGCATATGTTCTTGCATGTTTTTTGTTGGTTCTCTATGTATGAACCTATTCCTATTTTTGAGTTCTCATTAGGCATTGATGTTATGCTGCTCAGTATTTAATATGTTCCTTATAACATCTTTAGAAATGGCCTTTTGTTTCTACAAACCTAAAGTTCTTTTTAAAGGTTTTGAGGATGGCTTGAGTTCAGATCAAAGACTGAGAATGGAGAGCTATGTTGGAGGTTTTTATTTGAGACTGATTGAATGGAACAACATACTTCTATCTTGTGGTGTAGCAGATTTGTAAATAAGGTTTCAATTTTAGAATAAGCATCATTCTCAGTACGAATTATTCTGTATATTGTCAATGGCTTCCAAGGTGGGAGCAGGTTAGTTTAAAGAAATTCAAATATTGGCAACTAATTGGGTGTAGCGAAACATGATGAACTTTGTTTATATGGGGAGGACAGACTTTGACTTGGATAAAAAATATTTTGACCTCACTGTTCTATGGAGTTCCATTTTGCACTAGGTGATGTAAAAAGAGTTTGTGGATGATGATACTTTGCATGTGCACCAGGTTTGGCAAAGATCATATTTGGAAAGACGTCGACTATATCACATATTAATGATGCTTTGTCCTCCATTGGTTTTGGTAAAAATCTATATGGATGATGATGCTTCATTGGCTTTTCATATTGCTGGATCAAAAGCCAGGCTGGAAAATGCAAAAGACTTGCAGCATATATAATGGATGGGACAAAAGCTGGGGAAATTGAATGAGAAGGGATCTCAGACAGATGTTCAATCAACTAAGAAAATCCATTTTCTACACTAAAATCATTCGTCCTTCAACCGGAGAGGGGACAGGATCAGACAGGAGCAGATCAGGGACTTGACAGATACATGTAGTCAATGGCTAAGAGCTTCTGAATAACTGGAAAAATGGTTATTTCACTTATTTGGCAGTTTTGAGGAAATTCCTGGATGTGGTGGAATCGGTTCCATAACAACTATCTCTGCGCTCACTCATTATTCCCATAGTTGGTCTCTTGCTTCTGCTCCCTTGTAATAAGTCTCCCTGGAGGCCCTGTGGAACATTAGAGACATTGAGCAGATGAGACCTATCAATTTGTTGGGACTAGAGAATGACAAATACAAAACCAATTTTGTTTGTCATATGGAATGGGGAAATTACCATGGATGATGTGGTGAAGGTGCTAGAATTGTTAGAGGCATCTAATTATGCATAGAAGTGGGCTTGACATTTCCTCCATGGCCATTGTAGTGAGCCCCTTTAGGAACAAAAGAAAAAAAGAAAATGATAGGCCAGATAATCCAGGCATCAACCTACCTTGTCATTACTGTGAGTCAAATAGAACATTGATGTTCTCTTACATGATTGATCATATATACATGTACTTGCAGAAATTTCGTCACATTCATATTGGTTTCATAATCATGAATTCTCATTTTTATGTTAGTTTCTTGCAAATTCATTCTTATTTAACTGGAGCTTTTTTTGTTATGATGTTTTTTTACCACCTTAATTGCAGAATTACACTGGTGAAGAGGAGCTATTCTGTGTCTATGTTCCTACCAACCATCTCTATATTGGTGATGTCTTTATGATCAACTCGAGGGATGTTATTAGACCAAACCTGTCTGTCCGAGAAGGAATCGGTTAGTTGCAAACTTCTTGGGTTCAATTTCATGCAAGATTCTGAGTCCTATTTCTCATCTCTGCAGCTCTATATTCTTAGTTTATGTCTTCCATTATGTCAATTTCAATATCAATAATGTTTTTGATGCAGAGATTGTGGTGTCAGGGGGCATGTCAATGCCTCAAATTCTGTCAACACTGGAATCACATTCAATACAATTGGATCGAACCGAATTTCCCTGAAACTAAGACCAATGGTGTTTTTCTTTTCTTAACCATTCAGATGGTTAGATTTGCAGTTTGATCAGATTTAGCTGTCATGAAACTTTCTTCCACTCTTAGGTTTTCAACTTCCACACTGCTATGTAAAGTTTTAAAGAGCTCAGAGGAATGATATCGGAGAATGGTTTGGTGTTCCTTTCCAGTTTTACAGTCATATGTAAAGATTGATGTAGATTATAGTTCTACTCTGTTTTGTTGAGTATGACATTGTTTATGCATCAGAAATTTTCATTTCTGCCCATTTTTCACTGAGACATTTCACAGATAGGCGATTGTTTCCTCCTCTTTTTTATCATTTCCTGACAGCAAGTTCTTCCATGTGCAAACTTTGTGAGCATCCGCTTCTTGTCAATTGTTTAATGACAGTATTGTTGTTATTTTGATTACATGGGAATGTAGTGCGATAGCGTGGCTCGACAAGCATAGCAAGCCGTAGTAGAACTGGATCCGCAGACCAAGTGTTCGACCAATTTACCTTGCAGTTCGCTGGCACACCAAGAGACCTGCCGTTCCGTTGTTGCGGAGCTTCCACAGCCACTGAAACAATTCCAATTACGCTGCTTTGATTCTTCCTTGTTTATAGAAGAGCAACGTGATATGTCGGCCTCTGCTTTGTAGTCACGATGATCATTTGATGGATCGATTACAACCACATCAAGATTTCTGAGGACATGTCCTTTAGTGCATGCCCGTCCCGACTCTTCACATGGCAAGGACGGCCGTCGGCATCCCACTGTGAATAATAAAAGAAGGAAACAAAAAGGAAACACGAATCCTCTCTCCCCTCTTATAAATCTCATTGCCCTCTGCGTTCCGATCTGAAAACCCCGTCAATGGTGCAGCTTTCCTTCCGAACTCCCTTCAAAGCTTAAATCTTGATCGAAGCTCGGGTGCCCCGTCGCTTCATTCACCAGATCCTTCTCTTTGTTCTCCAGATCATTGCGCAAAAAGGGGACCTTTTTGGGTTCCAATCCCGCCATGGCCACTTCTTGGAGAGTTTTGCGAGTCACTCTCCTTCTCTTTCTCCTGGTCCGATGTCTTTCTGTTGCTTCCATAACCCTAATTGACGACGCCGACGACGATCTTGAGGGGCTCGAAGAGCTCCTGGCGATTGACGAAGAGGAGGAGCAGAAGGGCGGCGGCGGCGACGGTGGAGGCGCCCCTAGCAGGTCGTCGGAGGCCGAGCTCCTCCGCCGAGCCCAGAGGATCGTTCTTGAGCTGAGCAATGAGAATGCCAAGAAAGTGGTCGACTCCAACGAGGCCGTTCTCCTGCTCGGCTACACCCCCTGGTGCCCCAGGAGTGCCGAGCTGATGCCCCGGTTCGCGGAGGCCGCGACCACGCTTAGGGAGATGGGGAGCAGTCTCGTGGTGGCGAAACTCGATGCCGAGAGGCACGCCAAGGCTGCATCCCTTCTCGGAATTAAGGGCTTCCCGACGATACTTCTGTTCGCCAACGGGACCGCGCTGTCTTATAGGGGTGGATTTACAAAGTAAAAATAATCTCACAATTTTTTCTACTTTTATTTTCTTGATATCATCTTCTTATCTTCTTATCTTCTTTTCTTTCTTGATAGTTACTGCAGATTAGGGAAACATACTTCTAGTTCTTTATGTGGTTTAGCACTGGGAGCGTTGACAACTATGAATCTTCTACATTTAGCTCTTGCTTTGTAGTCCTGAAGAATTGAAGTGTTTGACTGAGTTGTTTTTCAATGATATTGTTATTTTCCTTGACATTTTGATTGTTGGATCTCTCCTTAGTCTGCCCAATCTCTTGATTTGCTAGTTCTTTGCGTTGATATATTATGATTGTCACTTCTCCATACTGTATTATAAGCTTTACATAATTAAGATTTTTTGCTTCATTTTGTCCATTTCATACTTTTCTACCAAACTTTTTCCTGGAAGATTGGATGATTTTGCCGAATTTGATGTAATCATGTGATCTTAGAATGCAACATTCTCTGCGCATTAGTAGTCCTTTTTTATCCATCTAAGAGGGTGATGTGAGAGGTCATTATGTAATGTGCCCAATACATAATGCAGTTGATACGTTCACAGTCTCCAGTTCATTTGGATTTGTTTCACATTTTAATTATGCTCTCTTGTTTCCGGAAGTGTTGCTGAACAAAGTCAGACTTGTTGTAGCTCTACATTGAAGAAGTATCTAAATCTTGTGCTTAATTACTGTTTCATTAACTTAAAATGGTCGTTGTCTTCTTCTATATTCAGGGAGGAGATTGTGATTTGGGCAAGAAAAAAGACTGGTGTACCTGTCATAAGGCTATCTTCTATAAATGATGCTGAGGAGTTCCTGAGACAGCACCAGATATTTATCGTTGGTCTCTTCGAAAAATATGAAGTATGTGATATATTCATGCAACTAAAATATATAAACCAAATAAATTTAGGTTCTAAATAACCTCGAGAGCCCAAGTGATAAAGAGCCAGCATTATAGGCATGATGTAGTGTCTGAGTCAAAATGAGAGGGGTATTACGATGATTGAATATAGCATAAGTAATTGGAGACTGGAGATGGTTTTAGCTGTGGATTTTCTCTACACCTAAAATATTTTTTCCAGTTTTGCTTTTTATATTTTATATCTCATACAGTTCCAGCTAAGCATTTAGTTCTTTCAATTAATGAACTAAAACATGTTTTCATAAAGGTATAATGACTATATGAGCCGCAGTTTGAAAGTCATTCACTTGTCACATGAAATATTATCATGCAGATGCACAGCATACGCGAAGAACTCTCAACTTAATGGTTTATGTTCTAAAAGTAAATTCCTTTATAATAAAAAATTAAAAGTCATGATTAAGGCTCTTCTTTTGTAATCTTCAAACAAAGTATAAATAGTAAAAGTAGAGGAACTAAAAGATTCTGTTGGACTGCAAATTTTGCACTAAAATATTGGGGAATTTATAATATGCAAATATCCTCCAAAAAATCTATTTGATTATGTCATAAATGCTTGTCCAAAACTTTACAGAAAAAGAAACAAATAAAGAAGGAATTAGTTACTTCCTTATTTTCTTAATATACCACTAAAGCTGCAAATGTTTCCTTCTGGTATTAAGGAAGTTGCAATTAAGATTAAATAAGTTTTTCAAGTTTCCATTTTCAGGCATTTTAAATGAGTTCTCCCACATCATCTTGGAACCTCATGGTGGCAAAGGATCAGATAGCCGAGGTAGTAATAGGTAGAAGGCCTTCTCTTGTGCCTCTCCTAACCTCTTAATTGATTTCCCAACAACCTATCAAAGTCTAGTTTACAAAAAGGCCAAACACACAGGATCCCATAGAAAAATGGGTATGATTTATAAAGAAACCTTGTGGCTCTCTTTTTTTCTATACACCTTTGCTTGCAATTCCTGGTCCGGTTGCACTTAGGCTTATAGGACTGTACCTCTAGAAATATTTTTCTCCCAGTCTGGGCATAGCCATTACTGATGTATAACAAGCATTTTTTTTTATCATAGTGAATCTTGCCTTTTTATCCCAGTTGGGTGTATTTCCACTGCCTTCGGAACTTAAAAATTGATGTATATATTAGTAAGCATTTTTGTGATCATAGAGCATATTTATCTCTTTTGTCACAAATTTTGCTATTTGAAGTCGATTATCTTTTGCAGGGACCTGAGCATGTAGAGTTTGTAAAAGCAGCTACTACAGATAATGAAATCCAGTTTGTGGAAACCAATGATATTAACATAGCTAAGGTTTTGTTTCCAGAAGTTGGAACTGAAAAGAAGTTCATCGGACTTGTTAAAAGTGAACCTGAGAGATACGAGAAATTTGGTAAGTTGGTGTTATATTTACTTCTTGCATTTACTTCTTGGTAAGTTATTTACTTCAGGTTTTAGAAATATGTTTGTTTTTGTCTTGATGTGATGTAGCTCAGATTTAGTAGCTTAGTTTTTCAGTCAAATTAGTTCCTAGGTTGTATCTACTAGAGATTTGATTTATATTCTTCATGAGTTATGAGTGCTAATTAGTATTTAAGGGTGGTTAGATCTTTTATTTAGTTATCCTTCATTATTTTCATTAAAGCATTGATGATTTTGATGATTTCTTATCTTTAACATCAGACTGGACCTGTTTCATCTTCCACAAGCTTGTCTCTGCTTCTAGATGAGTTTAATTCTACCATACTTACTTTAATTTTAGAGATATTTTAAGTCCTTCTGAAGCATGAATATTTAACAGTTCACATTCTGATAACCACCTGATTTAGCATTTTGGTAACCTTTATTTTTTGTATGTTTCTGTTGTTTGCTTATGTATTGTTCATTCTGCTTATTGTTGGTGCTCTTAGTTTCTTTACCTTGCTTTTGCTCCATGAAGTTCCATAACAATATTTTATTAAAGTAAAATCTAGTGATGTATCTTTTTGCTCTTGCAGTGGAAAATTTTGAGGAACAGAAGATCTTGCAATTTGTAGATTATAATAAGTTTCCTTTAGTTACTGTATTGACAGAACTAAATTCGGCTAGAGTCTATTCCAGCGCCATCAAACTCCAGGTTATCTCTAATTGATTGTTGCATTTTTTTCCTTATTTATGTAAGTGATAAATCTTAACAACACTATGTGTGTATTTGACATTAAGCAAATTAAAGATGACAATGACAACAAACTCCACTCAAAGCCCAACTATCTGTGATTCAGGCACAATCTGAGTTCCCTTATCTTGTTTAGATTTAATTTCTTTGGAATATGGCAGTCGAGCAACGTGGTTTTGGATAAAGATGAAAATATTGTAATGATGTCATCATTATCAATCTTATATATGATACACATTGAGGACAGTGCCATGGAGGGTATTAAGGACAATTGTAGTTGTGTATGCCACTGTGATACCATGAGTTTAAAGCGGACCACTAATATTAAATTGAAACTATACTATTAAACAAGTCAAGTACTCGAGGAGGAACAAAGGCTGTTAAGTTGTTATGTGCTTGATGAATGGAGAAAGCAATACTCCACATTGTTCCTTTGTCTAAAGGTAAAACAAGTGACAAAAGTTTGGAAGGTGAAAAGTCATGAAAGGAGTGAGTAAAATACATCGAAGTTAAAACAATCAGTTCTAGGATAAAATATTTGGGACAACTTAGTTTGGCCAACCAACTCATTTTGTCTAAGAATGGAACTGGACTTAGTGTGCACCAAGGAAATGAGGATTAAGCTGAAATGCTTGCTTTGGGTTGCTAAATTGCAGCTGACAATATCGGCCACTGTGGTGCTAATGCATCTGCGTCACTCTCATTCCGCTATATTGCATCACCTCATACGTTGTGTGATTGTTAGGGCTTAAAAATATCACAAAGGCCACAGTGGCAGTGGCCACAACTACAATATAGAACTACACCACCACAGCCACAATTTAAGCATTTTAGTCACCCTGTTCTAGGCATCTCAAATTAATGGGCCAATTCTCCCATTGGGTCTGTTCATGACAGTAAAAGTATGAAATTTGGCTATAATAAGGACGAAAGAGAAGTACCGAGAGGCATTACTAACTTTGTAGAATTTACATTTGAATATAATTCCTTGAAAACATTGGATTTGCATCTAATTTCTTTTAAGAAGGATGGTCCTATGAAAAATTTTCCATTTACAAAAGAAATTATACTTGTTCCCACCAATGCATCCGTGCTCCCTGTATATTTAGATGGCCACTCTTTAGCTATTTTCCACTCCCCTCAGGACCATGTCTCATACGAAAAGAAAAAGCAAAGAGAAATCCTAGTGAACAGAAGGGCATAATAAAAAATGAGAAACAATGCATAATCACATGCACACATTAAAGTATCCACAAGACATCTCTATAAATAGCTAAATGCTGCCTGGCCTTGCTTTTTCCCAGACTTGCTCATGCAGCCCTTTACAGGTTTTCTTTAGTTAGTGAAGATATGCCTGCATATGTGTACAATTGTATTTGTCTGAGAATGTTAACCTCAGTCAAATTTCTTTTTAGGTTTTTATCTTTGCAGCTGCCAATGAGTTCAAGGATCTTTACCCACTTCTTCAAGATGTTGCGAGGCCTTATAAGACAAATGTAAGTCCTGCTGCTTTTAGTTATCTACTGTTTTTAGGCAGTTTCTGACATTTGATTGTTTGCAGATAATGTTTGTGTATGTAGACAATGCTGAAGACAATCTTGCAAAACCATTTTTGACTTTATATGGACTTGAAGCTGAAAAGCCCATTGTAAGTTTGCTAGTAATTTATTATGTTATTTCTATTTTCTATCATCATTATTGCTAAACAACTTTGTAATTTCCTAGCATTTAACCATTGATCAGGTAGTCGTTTTATGAATGGGATAAATTTTCATAGTTTCAACAGCTTAGTTGGAACTCTATGTTTCTAATGGTTTTGAGGACGAATGAATGTAATTTATCTAGTTTGAAGCAGAAATGTAAATTCTAATGCAATTATCAACACAGAACCGAATCTTATGAATAAAAATGATCAAAAGTTTTCTTTTCCAGGTTTAGTATTATGTTCAGTGTTTTCTGGTTCGCATTCTTGAAGTTTGCAAATCTGATCTTGTTCCACCAAGACATGCATTAAAACATATGATTTCCAATTCATTTCCTTCTCTTCTGTTGCCTTTTCACTGTGTTCTTTCCCTTTTGGAATGCTTTTGGAGTCTCCCCCCTTGCTTTTGCATTTTTTTAATATTTTCCTCCTCCCTTCAAAATTACATAACGTGTGTCCTAGATGCTTACAGTAGGGCTTAAATTTTTTATTTTATGACTATACACAGTGTGTTACAATTCAGTATCTATTTTTGGCATTGTAGTTGAAATCTCGTGAAATACAGTTGAACAATGTCCAGTCATCTATCCATTCATTTCTCCACTTTATTACAGTATTTTATCTCTTTTCCTGTGAATCTAGGCATGTCTTGTAGTCATCTTTTTTTTATATATAATATTATTATTTTGATTCACAGGTAACTGCATTTGATAATAGGATTGGTTCCAAGTACTTGTTGGAGTCAGATCTCACGAGGAACACCCTAGAAGTACGTTTTACTCAGCATAATTCTGCATAAATTATGAACGAACATCCATAGTTGGAATGTTGTAGGTTGGAATTGTTGTTTTTCTTTAATATATTTTCAGGAATTTTGTTCTGGGCTGCTTCATGGTTATTTGCCACCCTACTTCAAGTCAGAACCAATACCAAATGAGGTATGTACACAATTAAATTGTGTTAGTTTGATAACTTGTGCAAATTGTGATGACCTGGTAAAAAATGATTTGCTACTCTTGGCTAATGATTTATTGGTTAAAATTTTACACCTACACCCTCAGCCTCCATGATAAAATGTATCATTGGTTTTCATTATCTCATATCTGATGATACATGTCCTTGATATCTGTTTTTCTAATTGTTAATATGGGGCACACGACAATGTTGATTGCAAAGAGATCTTTGTCATCATGATATCATTGAGTAGCTTAATGAGACACAAATTTTGTTACAATAGCTTCATGATCCGTGATCATCACTCAAGTGTACAATTTAATTGACCCCAGGTGCAGATTTATAGTTGATGTTTTTCCAGCACAGGACTTCCTTGGAGATTAATTGTTTGGAAAGTAATTTACAATTGTATAATGAAATTGGTGTTCAGTTTTGTGAAATGTTAATGTTGCTTTGTATGCAGCTGTTTTTATTCTTCTATTAGTTTTTTCTTTATGATTTTGACTGTTCACTACTGCATGATCCAGTATTGATGGCACCACACTGGTGATCATCATATTTGATGGCCGTGATAGCTGATATCTGCTTAGCATTAATAACTATGGATACAGTCTACCAAGAGATAGTTGATATTCCTAACATTCATTGTTGCCAAGTTTACAACTGCTACTAAGGTAATCTTTAGGATGATAACTGCTAAGTAAAATGAGTAATTAAATTTATCATATAACTATTTTTCTTTTCAATTGTTGTGAAGCTTCAACGAGATGAATATTGTTACACATTGCCATTTGTTGATTTGAGATGAATATTCAGAACAATTTTGTTGTTACTCATATTATGTGAATTCTTTTCTCTTTTTCTCATGAATATTGCAGAAAGGGTTGATTGAGAAAGTTGTTGGTAAGACTTTCGATGCTTCTGTCTTGGACAGTTCAGAAAATATATTTCTAGAGGTACGATGATTATTTGGTCATTGATTTAGCTAATGATGTTGTAGCTAGATGTTTTTGCTGGTGCTTTGTCATTTCTTCTTTAGTTGCTTGTTAAATTTTTATCTGCATGTGACTCGTAAAATACTTTGTTTTAAACTAAAGGTGTATACACCCTGGTGCTTTGACTGTGAGGCCACAAGCAAGCAGATAGAAAAATTAGCCAAGCATTTTAAAGGGCTGGAGAATTTAAAATTTGCCAGAATAGATGCTTCTTCAAATGAGCATCCAAAGCTGCAGGTATGGAATTTGAGTATTTATATTGAGGACAATAATAAATAACTCTTAAAATAAAAAGGTGAATTGTTGGTAATTGCTTTTTCTATTATTTTTTTAAAAAGATTATGACCTCGACCTCTACTGATTTTAGAAGAGTGAATGAATTTTGACATTTATTCTCTTTCCATAAAGAGCATTGACGCCACTTCATTTAAGTTGATAATTTGATCAAAATAACTAAAAACAAATCAAATTTTGGATTTTTGTCTTAGAAAATTATTAGTGAGTGGTGCTAAGCTGAATTCACGGTAAAGTTCTCTGGAGGAATATTTCTTGATCTATATATGCAATTGTATTGATCTTGAGCGCCTTTAACTTGATAGTGATATTGCATTTCGTGGAGCTCAAGAGTAGGAAAAGTTCTATGTAGTCACTCTTTGAGATGTACTCGGGACATGATAGCTTGTCATTGTTGTTAGTTATATTGTGCTTGTTTGATAACTTCCTGGCTTGTAAATTTAAGCCATGTACCGGGTCACCATCGTGTGATTGTTTGATACTATAAAATGTGGTCATGTCTTTGTTCATGAAAACATGTAAAAGTAACGAGCTCAAGGACATGCTTAACAAATTTGTACTAGATGGGATTCATATATTTTGCTCATAGCAAGAAAATTCTGCTATTCGTTGGTATGTTATCTTAGCTATTCTAACAATGGTTTACTGTTATACTGCAGATAAACAACTACCCAACACTTCTATTCTATCCTGCTCGAGACAAGTCAAATCCTGTGAGTACAGCCAATCACGACCACTTTCTTTTTCTGATTGCCACTGGTTTCTGTATTTATCCTAAATACATCTTGTTTTACAGATTAAAGTTTCCAAGAAATCGAGCTTGAAGGAATTGATAGCCTTCATCAACAAGAATATTAGATCCGACGACGGCAGAGGAATCACAGATAGTGATCACAACAAGAAAGATGAACTATAATACATGCTGATTATCCAAAATTTGAAGAGTGCTTTCACCAGAGGCTTTGATTGTAAACTAATCAGTAGGTGATGTATTCTTCATCTTTTTTTTTCTCCCCGACAATGACAAAAATGGGATGTGACTTATACAGACTTGTAAACAAATCTCCGAAGAGGCTTTTGATGTGCGAATGAAGTCAGTAAACATATCTGTTGATCTGCATAATGTGGAATGCCTTTTCATGAACCTAAAAGAAATTTTATAAAATTGATATTGACTTATTACTACTTTTGTTGGTAAATGACCCTGAAAAAGATTGACTGAATTTTCCGAGCAACGTAGTGATGGAGAGGGTTAATTAAAGATTGGTGAAAACGATTGACATCTTTGATAGCTTAACTGTTGCTACAATTATCACCCTTGACAAGAGAGTTTTCAGAAACCTGCAGCAGCAACAGAACTAAAATGGCTGTTAAAGAAGCACAATTCAATAAAGCAGCGGAAAGAAGACGGTGGGAGAAAGAGACTATAAGCAGCACATAATGCATCACAAAGGTGATGCGTTGCCAGAAGACAAGACAACAGGCGTTCTATTTGAATGCAGCAAGCTAAAAGCTTTATTGTACATTGCTGACTACGAGTATTTACCTTCAATCTAACATGCGCAGCTTCTAATGTTGTTTGATAGAAAATTTTCTCATGCTGCATGAAAGAACAATTATTTGATAGAAAGCACAAAAAGCTGGTATCCAGACACGATGAGAACGATAGGCACAATTTGATTAATGAAGATAAGAGTTTCTTCTGTACTGAAAGATATTACATCATGATAATAATCAAAGAAATTTGGAGAATCTAAGATTCGGAATTCACAGAATCTCGTTGCTTTCCTCCTAAACAATGGTCTTGATAATAGCTTCCTTCATCAATTTGCATCATACCTCAAAGACTAAAACTGAAGACTTCCAGCTCTTGACAGCATGAATCTGCTTTCCTCACTGTAGGAACACAGCCCTGCATGAATTCATAACCTGGCCATAAATTCCGGGTTGTAGCAGGGATTGTTTCCAGCACATGACTGGGCTCTTAACTCCAAATCTGAAGGAGGGGCTGATTAATGCTGATTTAGTGGCAATTTGGATGGTCGCAGAACTCGGTTCAGTACATCGTAACCCCTTTCTAATCCCATGGGTTGCTGAACCATTGGTTGCTCGTAACAGGTTTGAGTTCACTGAACCATAAACTTGTCCTTGATTAACTTCATCTGTTCGCTCCAAAAGAATACATGAATCATCTGGTTGAGAGCTTCTATGACTATCGTTTATAGAATCCAGTACTCTATTTGCTTCATTCTGCAGCCCAACAGCTCTCCAGGCTTCGGCAACCAGGCGAATGCAGTTTTTCCTAGGCCTTACTCCAGTTTCTTTCATTGTTTGTAGCAGTTCTTCTGCTTTCCATGGTTGTTTCAATTCGCCATATCCCCATATAAGTGTTTCAAAGGTCTTGATATTAGGGGAAACACCAGACTCAGACATCATCGAATAGACTCTCATTGCATTTTCCATGTTTGCTGCACTGCACCAACCACTGATGATTGTTGTGAAGGTCACAACATTTGCCTGGATTCCCAGTTCATTCATAGTCACCAGAAGGGCCTCAGCTTTAGCAGGTTCCCGTGCCCGAACATAACCTTTAGCAAGTATACTATATACTTGAGCATCTGGTTTGATACCTGCTTCAACCATCTTATTGAAGACTTCCATGCATCTTGTCATGAGTCCCATTGCACTCCAAGCATTCATTTGGTGGCTATATGTTACAAGATCTGGCCTGACCCCAAGTTCTTCCATTAATGCCAAAACCTGCTCAATTAGAAGTCATGTCAATTTATTTACTGAGAGAATCTGGAACAAAAGAAAGGTTATGGAAATAAATGCTCTTACTCACTTCATCTGACCCAGCCATGTCCTGGATATCTAAAAATCCTTTGATCAAAGTATTGAAAACAACAATATTTGGCCTAATACCAACAGCCTTCATTTCATTCACACACCTCAGTGCATCTTTCATATTTCCTTCTTTACAATAGCCACCAAGAATAATGACCCAAGTGCGTTCATTCGGACGCAACCTCATCTGCATCTCCAAAATTAGCTCTTCAGCTCTCTTTGTTTCTCCATTTTTGGTATAAGCTCTTGCGATGGTGTTATAGGTAACAACATCAGGCTGAATGCCAGAGGCATGCATCTTATGAACTACATTCCAAGCTTCAGTCAGATTTTGCTTATCGCACCATGCTTTGATGAGTATATTGTATGTTTTCTGACTAGGTCTCGCATTTTCCTCACGAGACATCATATCCAAAAGAGTTTGTGATTCTTCAGGCTTACCTATGATGCCATATCCTTTTATAAGAGTGTTGAAAGTGCTGGTTGTTGGTCTACATCCACTTTCCTTCATCTTCCAGAAGATTTTGATAGCCTCATTGATCTTTCCAGCTTCGGAAAATGCATTTATAATGGCATTGAAGAAAATTGTGTCGGGTTTCAAGCCACTGTTTTCTACCTGAGAGATAAGTGAAGGAATGGACTTAAACTTTCGCTGATCTGTCAGAGCAGTTAACAGAGTTGTATATGTTACCAAAGAAGGTTTATGGCCCTCTTCTACCAAGCAATCAAACAATGTTTGCGCTTCATGAGGTTTATTTTCACCAATTAGAGTACCCATCTGCTTTGTTCGTGTACGAACTGTTCGACAACTGTTTCCTTTTAAGCAGATAGCACACATTTGATGCTTCTCATAGTGGGAAGAACTTGAAATTGGCCGTCCATTTGTGTCCCATCTGCGACTTTCCTGTTATATTAAAGGAGAAAACTTTAAGCTATATAGAATTTTGCTGGTAACAAAGAAATTATGTTGCTCATACATAATAGTATTTCATATGAAACAATATGTAACAAAAAAATCATTGTCTTACAGATCTTATTATCCAAAGGTGATAGTAGAATATATTTATGATCAAGGCATTTTTGAGAAATGAGGTTTTACAAAGAGATTGTAAAGATGATAGTTAAAAATGAATTTCTTTACACATTAAATTACACATCATAGCTGAAACTTCATTAATTATTGTCCCCACTGATTCATCACATGGTGATAGTTGGTGGTGAAGATTTCATGCCACAGGCTCCCAAAAGAAGATTGTCCTTCTTTTCCTTTCCTCATTGGAATATCCTATCTCTTAAATTTGCAACACTAGGTGCTCCATTCTGCTACTCACACTCATCTCTCACCAGGGAACATCGGAGAACAAGAACATTGTTCTCTCCTTGCTCTTGCAATTTGACTGCTATTGCTAGTACTTTAGTATTTGGCTTTTCCCTCCAGAATAGAGCCTTGAGACAAATGGGTACCTCTCTCTTAATCTGGTCTGGCTCATGCATGCACCACATTTCTCTTTGCTCAGCCCTGGATCAATCATGTATAGAAGGGCAACCCATCCTATCACAAGCTTCGTCCTCACAGTTAAAATATCTAGGCTTCCATGTTTGACTTGGAAAACCTGATTAATCTGGCCCCACTGGTTGGTGGCCTTGTCAGACCAGGTCCCAGCCAAGGTATTCAATCTCGTGTTGACCTAGGTCAACGTATAACCTGAACTATATGCTTGAGATTCATATCTGCATGGCTTGTGCTGTGATGGTTCACTTTTGCTCGTAAAGCTTTTTATATCTTAAGAATGTAAAAGAGATTTGACTGTGGAAAACCATCTGAAACATAAGTAAAATTACTGCATTTGCTGTAAACAGAGATTAAATGGATCGATCATGAGTGTTCTTGTTCATGTAACATGAAATGCCTTGGGAGTCTAGCCACCATGTGTATAAAAACATCGAAAAGGGGATAGCACTTGCTGACAACAACTGCAGAGTAGAGGACACAGAACTGAAGGATTAAAAGCTTAGTACGTCTCCAAAGTTACAATGATATATAAAATGGCAACATAGTACCTGAGTATAACTGAGTATGATGCTATTACTAGTGAAGAAAGTGACTAAGTATAACTGCAACGGTGTGCAGGAGAAAGTTGAGGAGTACCTTGGAAGGCAAGCCATCAAACAACTGTTCTTGTTTCATTCTTTGTTTGTCAAGATTCTTAGCTGAAGCATCTAAGAGAGCACTCTCCATGTAACATCCTGCCACAAGCTTCATTGCCTGGTCTCTCTAAAGATTCTTAAACTGCAAATACCATGGTGAGTTCCATTTATTATACCATTTAGGATTAGACAAATAATGTTGAAAATTAAAAATCTGATTACATGTGGAGGAAAGAACACATGTATACACAAAATTACTTATATCATACCACATCCACACTGAAGATGAAAAAAATATATAAGGAACTTCGAAAACAAATAAACACATTCTTGCAGCTGACACCACAATGGAGAGATGATGCTTGCTCTGTTAGGGACAGAGCTTTAAGAGACGACAAGCAACGTCAATGAGCAAATAGTGTTACTCTTCTGACAAGCAGAAATTTAAATGAACTAATCACAATGTATGGAGGATGTAAGACATCACTGATTCTTTAATTTTGGAATTGAACTAAAAAGATTCTTTTTCGAAAGTAGGGCAAAAACATATAGAAATAAATGGATATATATACATACATATCGGGTATCGGACCCATCTCGATGATCTGCTAGATCGGTACATATTGGCCAGTACCGATGTACTGACATATGGTATGCTAGTATGTATCAATGTTACGACGAGGAAGAGAAAGAGAGAAGAGGAGGGGAAAATGAAGGAATAGAGGAGGAAGAAGGAAGAAGAAAGAATAAGAAGCAGTGGAGGAGGCAGAAGGAGAAGAGGAGGCGGAGAAAAAGTAACGACAGCAATGATGAGGTAGCGACAAAGCAGTAGGGGCAGGGACAACGGCATTGTACGAGAGGAGGGCTCACATTCGCAAGCCCTAATTTGTCTTCTTCTTTTTTTTTTTTTTTGTAACTCTGAGTTGGACAAAGCTCCACCACTTTTATGATTTTTTTTATTATTTTCACAGGATCACCTGTAACAAGGGTGGTCCATGTATCGGCTCATGCCTACATCGGTAGGTACCATACCATTTCGGGCAGGACAGTAATCCTTGTATATATATATACATACACACACAACAAGGGGACCCGCATGATTAGCATGCTAACATACAAATGAACACTGTTTGAGGAAACATGGACAGGCAATTCCATGCTTCTCAATTTTACATGGCACATGGAAGGAGCTTCAGGAGTTTAAACTCATTGTGCTTAGGAAGTTATAGGAAGCCAAGTAGTTCAGAATCAAATCCCAGCTTCAGCAGTGAACCACGAAAAACTATGTTAATGTAATACAAAAGCACCTCATCCCTACCCAGGTCCTCATGTTATAGAAAGACATTAGTTCTTTTTTTTAACCAGAAATTGCATGTCCCTGTTGATTATATCACATTTGTGAACTATGTGACAAATCTTGGGAAGCACAGTATAGTGCAAATTGTTCTGTCATCACAAAGCCCAAGACCTTTTGTCTAAATCAATCTCAAAATCCTTTTCCATCAAGCTAAATAAGGAGATGCTTTAACCATCAAACTATGAATAAAGAGGAGAATACAAAACTTATTAAATTAAACTTACAAAATGAGTTTTGTAATGAAGTTTACAGGACCAATGACATAAAGTTCTGAAATTTCCTAAAATATCCAATGGACTATGTTTCACCCTCCAGAAAGAAAAGCAAACTTCATGAAAACCCAAACAGTTCATCGACAATGTAGCAAATGAAATGTAACAAAACAATCAAGTGGTGTATAATCACCGAATACAATATCAAGAACAACACTTGCAATTGATGATAGGATGCAGAATCAGATTAATAATTATTAAACTCCTTTTCATAGAACACGTGCCAAGTTACCAAAAGAATAAGAAAACTCTGCGGCATGACAGTCTCAAAGGCTTCTTTTAATTTTCTCTCTGGAAAGAAATTGTGCATTGTGGAAGTCAGCAATCTAAGCTTCTATTCTATACTATTCGGGAACAAACAAAAACCCAAAATAGCAACAAGCTTCAAAATCTCAGTCTAGCATGGGCCTTTGGTAATAAGACCACTGGAAGCTAACCCCTATGCAGCAAGAGCAAATGTTGTCATGGCCACCTAGTTGGTGACTCCAACACGAACATGCGGTAGATTACTTTCATGAAGGTTTGAAAAACTTTAGTGCTAGCAATCAAGGCTGGACGTAGGAGGAAACATTTAACAATATAAATTTAGGAATTTGCTCATCATCTAAACACAGCAAGAACTCTCAATTCACTACTGCTTTGCATATACCTGAAGTACCCACGACAGTGAGAAATTCCCTGATCACAGATACAGTGGAGCCTATGGAGCATCTAATTCATAAAACCTTCCCAACATGACTCCGACACAATCACGACAGATCTACCACAGAGAACAACCGGTAAAATCATACTGCGTCAAACAGCATATTAAGAAACATTTCATTCCGGATCGCGGAAGGACTTCCAAATTTCATCTAAATGCCACACTGTCAAATATGTCGAACATACGATTCGTTTGCATATTCTAAGAAACCCAACAGGGATAGAATAGAGCAAAAATCGCCGCAACCAAAATCACCATGAACACAAACAATCTCGAGGAAGGTAACAAATAAGACAATAATCTCTGTTTCCCAAATTAACTAGAATTCAAGAGGAACAAAGATCAAATTTTGCGGCAAATAAATCGAGTACAAGGTAACGACAGACCACCAACATGAAATTTTCATTCAAACAAGGCTACGACGGCACCGGAAACGCCGTAAGAACCTATCAAAATACCATTTCGCCATCCATATTGAGTTCTCAGGTGTGCCGGGGCTGAGGAAGGAAAGACGAGTCGAGGAAGTAGAGTCTGGTTCTGAGGAAGAAGGAACTCCTACTTTCCTTCTGCGACCATCCTGAGGCGCAGAGGAAAGTGAAGGCGTGGAGCGACGAGAGGCGCTCCGATCGATTGGGTTCAGTTGCCCGCCACACCGCTGCCTCACACCTTGTGTTGCCTCGCACAAACCGCACCCTTTTGTAGCAGCGCTCTTATCCACAAATCCACACCAAGGGCTGAGAATTGAGGGAGGTGGGACGGTGTCGAATGTGATGGAAGAAAAGAGTCAATTTGAGCGGATTGGGTCACTATCTGATCCGAATTACGCATTTGATCCGAACCCGATCTCGCAATTGGCGTTGCGGTCAACATCGCGTCCACGTACTTTGATCACATGATTACGTAGGCATTCTCAAGAATTATTTACATTATTACGTGTCATCATTTATATTGATTACTGTGCTCGCACAAATAGGAAAAGGAAGAAGCTTCATGATAGCTTACAAGCAACTGACAACTCTAAGTTGAGCTACCTTTCTCTCGGCCTTCACTGGCTGTGCCAGATGAGTACATATCATACTCGCTAGTGGTGGTTGCACTGTACTCGCTGTCAGCATTGTAGTGACTTGTCAAAGTGTTCTTTGGTCTTCTCATGTCCATATAGTGCTGGCCATAACTGGAAAGAGTGCTATGGCCAGGTGTTGCTCCTTCACTGAGATCCTCAATTGATACAAGTCCTTCTAAAGCACGAACGATCTGCGTATGTTTCGATCAACGAGGTAAGAGTTGGATCACATGATCTAAGCCTAAGTTGTCTTCAGAAACAGTCATCAGCCAAGAAGAAAACACAGGTTCTTCAGAAACAGTCATCGAGAGGCGCTCAAGGCGTTTGAAACAATACCTGACTCATTCGCGGCCGACGTCGCGCTGAGTGGCGCACACAAACGGCAGCACAAGCCACCATTCGACCCATCTCATTGTGAGCATACTTCTTCCTCAGCCTCGGATCAACAAAGGCGTCATACTCGCCGTCGTTCAATGCTTGAGTCAACAAAGGTCTTGCCTGCAATACGAAGAATGTATGGAAAAATGATTTGGAATCTCAGTTCAAAAGCCTTGGAATGGTGTTCGAGATCGAACTCACCCAATCAACTAAGCTTTCTTCTATCGACCGAATCAAAAAAATTGGCGGTCTTCCTGTGATCAGCTCCAGCAGCAGCACTCCAAAGGAGAAAACATCAGACTTATCAGTTAATCTGCCAGTAGAAGCGTATTCCGGCGCCAGATACCTGTGGCCAGTGCGTCAGCAAGAACTGTGAGTTGACTTGGTGAATTCCCTGTGCAAGAGATAAGCTTAGAGATGGGTTCATGCTATTCTTACCCAAATGTTCCAATCACGCGAGTTGAAATATGGGTTTTGGTATCCAAGAAAAACTTTGCCAGCCCGAAATCTGCAACCTGTCATAAATGCCACACTCTTCGTAATCTTCTTCATTTTATACTGGGTATAAATTTTATGCTCGAGAGATCTTTATACTGGGTATGCTGATTAAGATCTGGTTCTTTGGATCTAGCTGAACTATCTTCTTGAGCTTGCTTAGAACATACATCATCTTTCTTTGAACAATCATATTTAGCAACTTCCGAGTACAGTTAAACCATAAAGAAGTATAGACATACTACCTTTGCTTCAAAGTTATGATCGAGAAGTATATTTGCTGCTTTGATGTCACGATGGATTATTTTGGGTTGGCCTGCGTATATTGCATTTATTAATAGAAAAATATAGCCAAGAAGATGAAATGAGCAGAGGGAGAAGTATTCTTACAGTCCTCATGCAAATATGTCAGTCCTTTTGCTGATCCCAAAGCAATTCTTAGTCTTGTCGGCCAATCCATGGGTGGTTGACCTCTTCCTACAAATGTCAAAACACGATATAGAAAGTATTTCTTTTCACCAATGCCAATTTCATTGGAACTAAAGTACAGCACGCAACTCCCTTCTGCGCAACTGAGAGCATTACCGTGCAGATGGAACTCTAGAGTGTTATTAGGAACATATTCAAACACCAGTAGCCTCTTGGCGCCGGAAATGCAGCAACCCTTCAAAGAAACGAGGTGCTTGTGATGCAGACGACTAATGATCTGGACTTCTGCCTGGAACTCATGGTCTCCCTGTCTGCTATCTGGCTTTAATTGCTTGACGGCAACTTCTTGGCCATTCCTAAGTATCCCCTTGTACACGCACCCGAAGCCACCTTCCCCGAGGAAATCGGCATCGGAGAAGAAATTCGTGGCGACTGCCAGTTCTTCATAGCTGAAACCAGCTTGGATGGTGAGCTGCTGTGGAGTTGATGGATGTTCGGATCCTGGACTCGAGTTTGGTGGCCTCTGTGTGCCACGATCCTCTCCTGCGGCGGTGTCATCTGGCAGTTTAATGAGTGAACATAAGGGTCAACTGCAGAGTTGACATCCAAGCAGATATCTTTGATTCTTTTTCTTGTTCATTTCATTGATTATTCAAACCTTATTTATATGGTAAAATTGTATCTATAATATTACTATCATAAAATTCAAAGTATATGCTTAAAGACACATAAGAAAGATAAGCTAATTGGTCTTTGTTATCTTAGAAGGTAAGAAGGAAGTGCACAGGATTTGCATGCAAGAGAGGTTCGAACGTTTCTCTGAAGCTGCAGCAGGTTGGGCAATCTGACGTCCCTTTCTTTTGTGATAGAAGTAGTAAAGTATGCCGAGAAGCAGCAAAACTACCGACAAACCGACTGATAAACCTACTGCCAGCCCTGTAGAGCTTGAACTCGATGACCCCGCAGGTGGCGGCCAGAAAGAAGGAGCAGGCGCTGCAATATATACATGCGGTGATGGAGCCAACGAAGAACGCTGAGTTTGCGGCGGCGGTGGTAGAGAAGGCGGCGGCGACGGAGGCGGCCGCGGCCGCGGCGGTGGTGAAATTGGAGCTGGCACGACTATCGTCGGTGGGACTGCGGGTGCATTTGCAGGCGCTACACCTTCTGCCAGCCGTCGAGACGAAGCGGAAGGATTGAGAACGGCATCAAAGCCTTGGCTTTGGCGAGTGGGAGACGAGGATGACGGTGGAGGTAATGGCTGCAGTGGCGTCACCGCTGTTGGGTGCTTCGTGGGGGGTGGTGGTGAAGAAATCGTGGGTGGAAGTGCAATTGACATGTTGAGCTTGCGAGATGCAAGCAGACCGACTCACCCTGATATAAAGGCAACAAGCATCGATTTTTTATCGGTTCTCAGTAAGCATCACCTTTGGAATTGTTCCGAGCAAGCAAGAACTGAGCATTTGACTGAGTTATAGCTTTGATTTCATCAAACAAAAACATTCTATTTAGTTTGTTCATTAGGATGATTCCATCCCTTCATGTCCGCCAAAGGCCACATCAAGGAAGATTATTAGAGACATCATTCGCGATATACACATCAATACAGCTTCTATACTTTTACACAAGCAATACATTATACTTGTAGAAGAGTTCTTGGCATAGATAGAGACATTTGATGTTATACTCTAACCACATTCCTCTGGTATTAGGGAGGAATAGTTCGTTGAACACTTGAAAGTGATTTCATGGAATTTGCTTATGAAATCATGCAATTAATTTAAGAAAATCTCATAAGTCTATGAAAGGAACGTATATATAATATACTGAAATCATACTGTTTATTGATGCAATCTTTCGCCCACGGAGGAAGCCATTACAGGAAATTAACGACATCACTCGCTTCACCGACGTCGTTTGAGAATATTTTAATGTATTCTATTACGTGTACAGAGAAATTATTTTCATGACGCACATTTTGATCGTCCGAATCTTAATGACAAATATTTATATTTATCATGATATCAAGGCTCCAAGTTTATGACATGATGGTATTGATGGAAGTATGAATGATGATGATGCTGCCATGTCGAGGACATACATAAGTACGATGTATACATCGCCTTGCACGAAAATAACTACAGTTTTATGCTCATTTCCAGTTGTTGTGGTGGGTCCCAACGAATGGAGGGTAGAGAAAGCAGTCTCCTCTCTTCTGCTTGCTCGGTGTGGTAGAAAAGGTGGTCGCGAGAGGGAAAGAGGGAGGAGGAGGAGGCGGGAGACGGGATGCCGGGGAACCACGATCAACGGTCGAGATCTGCCAGGGCGGCCACCATCCACGGTTGCGCCCAGTCCGGAGACCTCCTCGGCCTACAGAGGCGGCTCCAGGAGAACCCGTCGCTCCTCAATGCGAGGAACGCCGTCGTAGGCCCTTGACTCTCCTCCTCGTCACTTTCAGCATTTCCCGTTCCGATCTCGTTGTTCTCGGTTGACTTGTCGTACAAATCCTTCTCCTCTCTTCTTTGTTTGGGCAGATCCGTTGCTTTCGACCGACTCGTTTTGGTCTTCGATTGTGTCGCGCTCCTCATTTTTCTCGCTGTTCATCAAGATTTTATATTATCAAATAGGATATAGATATTTGTAATGCCCATTAGGAATTTGTCGGTTCACTTTGACGCTCTTAAGCTTCCTTTAATCTCTATTTTTTTTTGGCAATTTCTTTAATAATTTGGTTTTAGTGTGATTCATACTTCTACTTGTTTCATGTATATTTCTCTTTATTTTACCCGATCTAAGGAAATTGCATTTTCTTTGTGAGGTCTCCTCAAGAAATTTGTTGCCTTCTTCATTTCTTTTCGAGAAACATACTTGCATTTGAAAGTATCTTTCTTTTTATAGTTGTTGAAACCGTTGTCGATGATCTCAGTTAGGTAGTAGCGGAAGAAATATCTTCTCTTGCGAGGTTTTTCCAGGGTAAAAAAGAAAAAAGAAATTTGTCTCTGTTACCTTCTTATTCTGCCATCTGTTTTATCTTCCATGAAATTTGGTTTTAGGTGCTCAAAATCAAAGGGATCTTCTATTGTGAAACATTTATGTTTGCAATTTGGATTTTGTGGATGATTTTTCCAAACAATATTCATCATTGACTTGGTAGAGAATTTTTGTCGGTAGAAGTCTTAACCTCTGCCTACTGCTACTGTCTATATGATATCTTTTCAAAACCATTAATTACAATCTCAGATGATTTGCACCTTTCCTGACATTGATTCGTCAAAATAGGAACCTTAAGCATTCGGAACCACTTTTGGAACCATATGCATTTCTTAAATCAATGAACTTTTGGCCGTAGACTCTTTTTTATCTTTTACTTTTTTCTTTCCCATGCCATGGTACTTAACCTTTTTGGTGCCATTTGTGATATTCAGATTGCTCCTGTAGTTAGATGTACTTAGTTTAGATCTTGTCAAACTTTTGGTTTCATTATATACTTTTCTTTCTTTTTGCAACAAGATGTTTAATAGATTTACCATTGATGTAGATGGCACAAACACCGCTTCATGTGGCTGCTGGATACAACAATACCAGTATCGTCAAGTTCCTGCTTGAATGGAAGCGCCCAGAGAAAGTTGAGTTGGAGGCAAAGAACATGGTAGGCTGAGAGAAATGATATGTTCTTATCTGTATTAAGTAGATTGCCCTCCCAAATCCCAACTAATGCTTTATTAACTGGAATTGGTGTGTACTGTTTGCAGTATGGTGAAACACCGCTGCACATGGCAGCAAAAAATGGTTGCAGCGAATCAGCAAGGCTACTTCTCACACATGGTGCTTCTCTTGAGGCAAAAGCCAATGCAAGTCCTTTAAACAGAATTGCCCTTTTTGTTACCCAAATATGGACTGCAAAGCTTTATAGTTTATCACATTGCAATGTGTCTGATTCACACCTTGTGCTTTGACATTCTCTTACATTTATTTTATTGCCATGTTATTTGTAGAATGGAATGACTCCACTACATTTGGCTGTTTGGCATGCACTACGAGCAGAAGATTGCATTACAGTGAGCACACTGCTAGATTACAATGCCGATTGTAGTGTCAAAGATAATGTATGCTTTAATTAATGTAGCATTATCAGATTAGCTTGAAAGAGCATTTTGAGAGAGACATCTAACTATACTCTTTGTACCATAGGAGGGAATGACCCCTTTAAGTCATCTCTCAGAAGGTGCTGGCAATGAGAAACTTCAAGGACTCCTTTTTCGGCATATAGAGGAGCAAAGAAAGCGCAAAGCAATTGAGTCATGCAGTGAGGCAAAAGCAAAAATGGCCGAGTTTGAAGCAGCTATTTCAAATGTTGTGGGATTGCAGGAACTCAAAATGCAACTGCGTAGATGGGCTAGGGGTATGCTTTTTGATGAGAAGCGACGAGCATTGGGATTAAGTATAGCTCCAAGAAGGCCTCCTCATATGGCCTTCCTTGGTAATCCTGGAACAGGTATTTGATACTATACATGATGGGCTCTTGTTCACAAATTGCAAAACATGTGATGCAATTTTCCAGGTTGGCAAGAAATTGGTATGCTGCACTGAAGGCTTCTGATTGAGTTTATCTTTTTCAATTTGGTTATCAGATTGACCTTTGCTTGTAACTTTGTTGTGAATTTTAGCTCAAATGGGGTTCTATAGGTTATTAAGAAAAAGGATACCAAGATCTCGTTTGTCTTAAACATAACACTTATTCTCATTTGTCTTGAACATAACACTTATTTAGTGGGGAAGTATATGCATTTGATTGTGTTGACTACTCATACTTCGAAATTCTGATCTTGGATTTTTGCAGAAATTTCTTTTAGTTACATGTTAGTGGTAGCATCTAATCGAGGCTTAATAAAGTTTTCTGCACAATATTCTCTTCAGTTGTTCTTCCATGCTCCTTGCATTTTTTTGGGATTTGAATGAATCAATTTTTAGAATGTTCATGATATTTTAGGTAAAACTATGGTCGCCAGAGTTCTTGGTAAACTCCTCCACATGGTAGGCATTCTACCTACTGATAATGTAACAGAAGTGCAAAGGACTGACCTAGTTGGAGAATTTGTGGGTCACACTGGACCAAAGACAAGGCGCAAGGTATACATGTACATATCTTATTTTGCAAGAGATATCTGCTTCAGGGCTATGTACCCAACATCAAGAAATGTTAGATTTTTGTTGTAGATGCACTAGAAAATCCTTGAGTTGCTTCTCTTTACTTTTATGGACCCTCCATTTGCACCATACACTATATATTGCTTATCACAATTTTGGCTGGTAGCCTGTTATTTGTTTAAATGTCTATAGAGTTTGTTGAAATCTGATTTTCTTGCATTATTTCAGTGGCTGTGAGATGTTAAAAAGTTGTTATATCAAACATCCTAATGTGGCATTAATTATTTGTCCCAGATACATGAAGCAGAGGGAGGAATTCTTTTCGTCGACGAAGCCTACAGATTGATTCCAATGCAAAAAGCAGATGACAAGGACTATGGCTTAGAGGCACTAGAAGAAATAATGTCTGTGATGGACAGCGGTAAGGTGGTGGTGATTTTTGCTGGATATTCTGAGCCAATGAAACGAGTGATAGAATCAAACGAAGGTTTCCGTAGAAGGGTAACCAAGTATTTTTACTTCGACGACTTCAGCACAACTGAACTTGCTCAAATTCTGCATATTAAAATGAATCACCAGGATCAGAATAGCTTACTCCATGGATTCAATCTCCACCCAACTTGTAGCGTTGAGGCTGTTGCGAAACTGATCGATAGAGAGACCACGGAGAAGCAGAGGAGAGAGATGAATGGGGGTCTCATAGACCCATTGCTTGCAAATGCTCGTGAAAATTTGGATCTTCGACTTGATTTTGATTGCAGTGACACTGATGGTTTAGTGACGATAACAATGGAGGATTTAATGGCAGGCCTTAGACTGCTTTCTTAGCAATGGTCTAGGGATGACTTAAGAACTCTATTTCTTGTAGTCAGCCCCAAGAATAGCAGGTTGTTAAATTGCAAGAGTTGAGCTCACTATCAGAGTTCATTAGACATGATTTCTTTCATTGATGTATTCCTTCCTCTACAGTGAGGAAGTAAAGTTCATGTTGTATTAGATAAAGTTCATTGTAATAGTAGGTTCATTTACGTTCCATAAAACCAGCTTGACATTTATTGGTGAAGTCAATGTGTTCCTTAGCAATTAACCTCAGAAATCATGAAAATAAATGTTGTTTCTCCTGATCTGATTATTCAAATGTTGCACATTGTAATAGTAGATTCATTTATGTTCCAAAAAACCAGCTTGGCATTTTGATGAATTCAATGTGTTACTTAGCAATTAACATCAGAAACCATGAAAATAAATGTTGTTTCTTGGCATCAACCTAAATGTATTGACATTCACAAGCTCTTCATGTCATATCCATAATACGAATAATACAGAAGGCAGATGGAGGCTGGAGATGCAGTTGGTGTTAACGGATGAGACCGAGATCGGATCAGGGTCGATCCATCTCGGATCCGCTTCTTGTCAGAATCGTATCATCCGCTTCAGATGTTAACGGATCTTTGGGATAGCAATCCAATCGTCTGTCGAAGTGAGAGAGAGAGAGAGAGAGAGAGAGAGGCGAAGCCAAACCAAACGGAGATCGACTTTGCCGATTAGAGACCAAACAGTGGTGCGATTCAGATTAAAGCTTTCGAATCGATGGTTTTCTATGTTTCTTGATCCTTGATTTTTGATTTCGAATTTTCGCGGACAGCCATATGCTGTTCTGAGAATTGAAGGAGTTCTTTTGTTTCTGTCATCACGGGAGTGTTCGATTTGGCACCTCCCTTTAACATCATATCAAATAGGAGTTTTGGATTCTGACTTGTGGTAAGAAATATATATAATAATTTTAACCATGTAAGGATTTCATGTTTCGATTTTCATGTGGTAGTTTCATTTTTGCATCCAACGCATTGCGCATCACATGTTCGTTGAAAAGCCGAGTCGGATATAAAGAGTAGAAGATCATGTCTTCTTGGCAGTTTTGTTTTGTTTTTGTTTTCGTTTGTTTTTTCTTGTGCTCATCTCGTGCTTGCTTACAGAAAAATGGCTACTGTTGCTGTCGCATGTTCACATTCGCAGCTTCCTTCGTTGCACCGCGGTGGTAAGTTTAGTGGGCTTAATTGCGTCTTCTTCATGTGATTGTGTCGAAGATTTATTTTTCATCCCTAGACAACATGCTCTGCAAGTCAATTTTCATTGTCTTCATCTGGCTACTAAGCATACAGCTGCTCCTCTGTTCAGATGCTAAAATTTCACTAACTTAATCTGATGAAAATCACAAAGTGCAAAAGATGAATACCATACTTGGTCAGGTAAAACTGGTATTTCCCTTGTTAAAATTACTTTTTCTTGATTCTCTATGTGGAAATCAAAATAATAAAATCATGAATTTTATCTCAAATGGAAAAAATTCATGTTCTGGTATCTGATAAGTGGTGCAATTGTTTTCAAGAAAAATCTGTTCAAGTTGGATATAGATTTGATTTTATGATAATTATATTCTCTTTGTTGTAACATTTTTCTTCCTCTAGTCTTTAGAGATACCTCATTTAGAAAATCTTTTAGTTTATATACACACGCACACAACAGTTACCTACGGTTGAACATAATATGCACTTTACCAAAAACAAAATTTAGTGTAGGAGGGTGGGGTTGATTTATTCCAAATGAATTTCAAAAATGTGTTTGATTGGTCACTAACTTTCATATGATTTTTTCTATCAATATATCAATTTTCAATCGTGTAATGTTGCTTTTAATTACAAATAGAATTGAATTGAGCTAACCATCTACAAGATTATCTGACAGCATACTCTTTGAATAACACTTTTCTTTCTCTATTCTCTAAAGCAGTGTTTCCTTCTTTACGTCATTTAGAAAATTTTTTATTTTGGTTCTTCCGTACCTTGTGTTTTCTTATTCAGGGCAATCAAGATCTGGACTATTAAGCATATCATGCCTTAAGACCAACTGTCCTGGTCCTGTGAATGCTATTGAATGTTCATCAACTGAAGAGGGACCAAAGATGATTAAGCCTATAGTCAAGATGTGTGGTATTACATCAGCCAAGGATGCTGAAATGGCTGCAAATGCTGGTGCTAGCCTCATTGGCATGATCATTTGGCCAAACTCAAAGCGTTCTGTTTCACCAAAGGTGGCAAAAGAAATATCCAAAGTTGCACGAGACTGTGGAGCAAAGCCTGTTGGTGTGTTTGTAGATGATGATGCGGATACAATACTACGTGCTTCTGATGCAGCTGAGCTTGAGTTTGTTCAAGTATCAATTAGCATAACCCTTCTCATTTTCAAAGTTCTAATGATTTTCCAAATTGACATCTTGAATAAATATTTCTTGTTAATTTTTCTTTCATGGATTTTTTTCAGCTTCATGGGAATGGTTCCCGTTCCACGCTCCCAATCCTCTTACAGCAAAACCAAATCATATATGTCCTCCATGTTGATGAAAATGGAAACCTTCTCAATCATGTCTCCGATGAGGAATCTTCGTTAGTTGATTGGTTTCTAGTAGATAGCGCACAAGGTGGCAGGTATGAAATCACTTCAGTGCATACTACCGCTATATATATATATATATATATATATATACTTCCATGCAATTTACAAGGTTAACATGATACAAGTTTGGATACTTCTATTACCTGGCATTAGAAATTCGAATAGGCTATGACATCTATGTGACAAATAGTTTATCAAATTGCACTCTGATTCATAATGACAATTAATAAGTTGGTAATGAACAGTGTATGGGAAAAAAAGGTAAATATATTTTAATGGAGAAGTAGTCACATATACCCATTGTGCCACTTTCAGACACTCTTAAATGAGGTTAAGTTGTAATGCCCATGTAACTCTACCATCTATTTTTATTGTGGCTATCTTTACTAGAAAAAAATTACTCTATCTTAAGCATTTTGCCTAATTCTTTCAATTGGTACTGGTTGACATGTAAAGACTTGCAAATGAAATCACAACATTTTCTCTTATTTGCAGTGGCAAAGGATTTAATTGGCAAAGGTTTCAGCTGCCATCCATGAGAAGCAAATATGGGTGGCTTTTAGCTGGAGGACTTCATGCTGACAATGTTTGCGAAGCAGTCACTACTCTTATGCCTGATGGAGTCGATGTTAGTAGTGGCATTTGTGGCTCTGATGGCATCCAAAAGGATCCCTCGAGAATCTCTTCCTTCATGAACAAAGTAAAATCTTTGAGCTATTGAATTTGGTAAGGACCTTTAGAATATGTCAACTTCCTTCTTGTATTATCAAGAGACACTTGGGTGAGTTTACATTTTAACTTTAATTGCATAATATTCTTGACAATTTCAGAATAAATTATCATCGTTTTTTTGTTTTTGTTTTTTTGGTTTGACCGGTAGCTTGCGCAATTAGTAGTATCGTGATTAATCATGCAAGAAGGTTGACATCAAAGTAATGTTCTTGTGGTATTTTTACCCTTTCCCTGGAAAATGATTTTTTTATTTTTATTTATAATGTGACTTGAAATCATTTATACAATATTCTTCCATTTACTTGCTTTATTTTATTTTTTCTTAAACAGAAACAATCTTCTCCTTCTCTCTTGCTCTACCCATATAAGCCTTGGGTTGGCAACATGAGCTCCAACTTAGAACTCGATCAAATCAATGGGTGGCCTAAATTGACTTTTTGTCATCAAAGAAATAAGAAAATTGTGCGTATTTATTATCTGTTGGGTTGACCTCATCAACTTGTTGTCAATGGTTGTGTTAGGTTGATTACTTTTGGTTGAGGCTCATAAGCCACTCTCATCTAATGCCGAGCACAGATTCCTCACACTTGATTCGATGTGGTGACATCAACTTCTAACATGGTAATGGTATTCACCAAACTCCTCACTTGTCCACAACCCAATTCAATATTGATCAGTGGACCAATTCACCTCTCCAAAGATAACTTTATTCTAAAGTATGTTAATCGCATAAGGTTTGGTTACTTTAAGAATCTGATTCTAATACTTAATATTTTTTTCGCCTCTCTCGACACATGACAACATAATCAACCTAATATAAAATATAAAATTATGTTTTTCAATTAATCCCATAATAGAAAGCTTATTATGACACATTAATCGAGGACAATTATTATCTTTACTCGAAATTTCTACTTTCCGAGATCGACTTGATCTTTACACATGTTTTCGATCAAGCATTCGAGACCTTCTCGGTTTCACCCAAGTTTCATGCGTATGCGAGTTTTTTATGCATCACTCACATCTCGAGCTCTCGATATATCATCGATATATCCCACGTCACATTGATAAAAAAATTGAAGATGAACGAATGGTTTTATCTTCGACATGTAATCTATAGATGCAATATAATCCATCCAAAACTTAAAAGATGATATCAAAGCATTTGGTCACTAATCGAGAACTAATTATTCAGTGGTAATATTATCTTAAGTCCCAAGTACGTTTAAATCTCGCCGTCGGATTCACCAGCACCACCACCTCATGAATCGTTGGTGGTTGGGAAGCCGTCGGACTAATGCAAGTAATCGAACAGGTCGATATTACACGGCACTTCTACGTAAACTTCTCCATTTCCTCCAAGAAGACACCTTCGTGCTCCTCAGAGACGACCTGCCCCACGAAGCGCACCCCCCCCTGATTGGGCGCAGGCCGCCTCAGAATGATGCCGCCGGCGAAGACGGCATGGTCGTTGAGAGCAGCGACGCAGTGCGGCGGTCCCCATCCGTAGTCCACCTCATAGAACCCCACGGATCGCCAGTCTGACAAGTTCAAGGCGTCGTAGCCGATGGGAACTCTGAAGGGATCGTCCTTGAAATCACCCACAGCCCATTCGGCTAACTTGACCGGCAGACTCGCTTTGGCTTCCCTGATCAATCTCACGATCTCCATCAGCGGAGCGCGCGTGATCTCCTCGCTGGTCGCTGTGACCGTCAGGCAGTACACGCAGTTGCCGTAGTAGCCGCCTTCGGGCGGCAGCAGCTGGCGCAGGAATGGGCGGACGTTCGCGGGGAACACGAGGTGGACATCGGCGCGGAGGTCCAGGTTGATGGCGCGAGCTCGGGATCGCCAGAGAACGGCGGCGGCGACGTCGAAGGTGGTGCACCTGTGGGATGTCTCTCTCATGAATTCCTCCTTGAACTTGTTGATGCTCTCCAAGGGGAACTCCCACTGCGACCGGACGAAGCTGAAGGTGGTCGTGGGGGGATCCCGTGGGAGCCTCCGTGGAGAGGGGATGGCCTCTCGAAGCCAGATCGGGTCAACTGCGGGGCACGCAGCACCTCTCGCTATCTCTGCTATCGCTCCGAGGAGTTGACCCGCGCCAACGCCATCGAGAACCATGTGGTTGAACTTGACTCCAACGATGAATCCTCCGCAACGGAGCTGTGTAACCTGAGTCCATGAAACACGGAGACAAAGACGATGCCTTTAGCTTCGTGGAAGGCGAGATTCGAGCTCAAGATTTTACGATAAGTTATCAAAGATGCATTCAATACTTCGGTCTTCGATGGCCTTTCCACGTTAGACGCGAACTTACAGGGACGTATCCATAATTCGTCACTACAGCTTTCAGTAGGTTTGACTAAACTACAGATCTCCTGAAACTTTGGAGAAAGACGAGAGAGACAGACCTGCAACATTAGTATCATTTGTCGTTGGTTTATGCTGGGGGGAGGACATGGGAGGAGCTCTTCCTTGGGGATCGCGAGAGGGAACTCGAGATCCTTGAGGTCGCTGAGGCTGTAACGAGACGTGGCCTCCACGAACCACACGCCGTCGCCGGTAGACGCGACCTGCAGCTCCCCCTCCCCCGTGACCACGAGGCGGCCCGCGACGGGGTAGTAAGGGACCAGCGCCTTGGACAAGGCGCCTTTTATGGCCTTCGCTGGAGGCTCCTCCTCCGGACCGTGGCGGCCGTACGCGGCGATCATCTCGACCAAGAACCTGAGGCCCATCGCGTGATCCAGGGAGGAGAGGGGCAGGGTGGCGCAAGGCGTTTGCTCGCCGGGGGTGACGAGCTCCGCGGCCAGCTTCGTGACGGGGGAGCTCATGGTGGGTCGTCGTCACCTGTGGTTGCCAGCGATGTGTTGTTACATGGCATTTCTCGTCTTCCATTTATAATACTCTTGGAGAACTGCTGGTGTGCATTCTTCCGTCTCCTTAGTACCACTGTTCATACATGTGAAGATCGTCGTCAACCCATGGCCAAGCTGATTAGGGCTACGAAGGCGATGGGACTAACGAGATGAAGTCGTAGAAGGCGGTATCCAAGTCCAATATCATTTTATAATGTATTTGTAAATAATGATATAAACTATATATATATAAATACATATATATATATACATATATATATACATATATATATATGCATATACATATATTATATATTTGTTTGCTCGAATTTTTAGATGGAATGATAATGATAAAAAAGAATTTAACACCGTATGAGAGCCAATGATTGAATCAGTTTTTACAATCATGAAAAGAAAACTGGATTGAACCAATGATCATTTTTTACGAGTAAGATGAAAATTCAATGAAAAAAATGAAAATTGAGAATTTTTTTTCCCAATAAAATCACTCAATTTTTTTCTCGGTGCCCTTTTCGAATGCCATCATCACGAGCAAATCAGCATTCCGTCTTTTGAGAACGAATAGTGAGTATTACATCTTTCGTATGAAACTTTGACATATAAACACTATCCACTACCTCAATCAGACAACAAAACTTTTATGATAGTTGTCTTATAATAAGTCTAACAACAAAGAAGATCAACAATGTGAAAAGTTTGACTATTGGGAAGTAAATGGTAGTTGTCAACAGGTTCTGGTAGAACACTCCATTATGATACCATCATAAAGGCACAGCAGAAGATAAATAAATAAATAAATAGACTTTTTGACTCGACTAGAGAGAAAAGTTTGGCTAGAAGGCACTCACTCGATGTTGCAGGCATAACTCCAGTGTGAACTTCCTCCTACAGAAAGTCTGCAGGGAGATTGTTGGTGACGATGACACTAGCCATTTTATCTTCCTGGATGACTCTGAGGTGATCGGTATCCGGATGTTCCTCCTCTTTATTTCCACCTGCCTTGAGTTTGAAAGAAGATTACTTTGGATCACAAATGATAATATCATCTATCAAAATTCCACCGAATGAAAAGAGAACTCAGATTCGTTCTGAGGAAAAAAACAATGAAGAAAGTAACCACCGATCAAGCTCTTAATTAGCAGCCAATAGATGCACTAACCAAAATCGACAGCTGAATAGGAATATCGATGGTCACATTTATTAGACCAACTAAAAGTTTCCCAAAGCTTCCCTATACTATAACAATAGCCAATTAGATGAGAGAAAAAAAATGGTCTTGAAGTTTTGCTATGCTGTGAAAATTGTAAGAAACAAAGATGTAATTTGTGTCAGGAATCAAGCATGCCAAATGTATAATTATATTACAAAAATATTTCCATTTGAATATCAATACATCCGACATATTGTTAATAATATTAACTGCTTACGGCCTCGGGGCAAACCATGAGGGGAGCTTTGGCTGCATGACTGCAGCGAATGAAATTTAGTAGAACATGAAGAGCTTACAGTAATAATGAATAGCGACACTTACACGAAGGCTTCACAGCTATTTTGGTCCACTAGTCTTCGACGGCCCGGCACGCTCCACCATGACATCATATAGCTGCTTACCGTTCTGATGAACAAGTAACTTAGGGAGAAGTGCACACAGAAAAATGTAGTTTTAATTTTCTGATATCTACTCACAAAAATTACTGGAAAGAAGTGAATTTGTCCTTCAGGTTTAGTCTGTGTCTCCTTGAAATATATCAGAATTGGGAACTGTGGCCACCAGAATTCCCAGTTTACAAAAGTGGAGTACCTAAGAAAAATTTTATTTCAATATTTCAGATCATTTTAGCTTGCACAAGGAGACGAGATGATGGGAGAACAAATCGCTCCAACCTCCAACGGTTCTTGCCACCAACAAAAACATTTTCCCCTGACTCCTCAAGCTGGTTCCCAATTTTCACCTCCTGTAATAAATCATCAAAGAGTATAGGTAAGTCAAGAAAATTTTAAAAAATGTTTAAATTCCTGTTAACATGATGATTATATCTGTGCTATTGTGTTAACTTTTGGAAACTATTACTCAACACATCCAGTGAAGCTGACTTTAGAGAACTCCACTAAAGGGTCCAAATTAAAATTCTGCTGTAGTGTATGTATGAATCAGATGGCAGACACCTGTTCTTGATGTTATGTTAACTAGATAGAGCTCCTAATCTGTTGGTCATATATGTTTTAGATGCCCTCACACGTTTTCATATATGTTTTAGATGGTCAACATATCACTTTTCTTTCAGCAGAAGTGTCAATACTGAGAAATTTTTTGGTCAGTGATGGTTGCAAAGTCAGCCATCATCTGTTGTATGGACTTCCAACTTGCTTGGAACTAGCACTAGTACATGGATGGTTTGGCCATCTTTATTTATA